ATGTGCTGTGGATGCTTTGTCATGCCACATGGGTCCCAACCCTGAAGGGCCTTCCAATGGTCGTGAAACTGCTCTGACACAAGATTTTGTGGCCGACCACAAACTGAACAGCGTACTCCTGAAGCTGTGCGTGCTTAGGGAGAGGCCTCTCAGAGGGGGTACTGTTATGGATTGGATGTTTGTGCACCCCCCCTCATCCTCCCTCACGCCAAACTACACACAGAAGCCCTAAGCCCCCAGTGTGATGGGGTGCTGGGAGGTGATCAGGGTTGGATGAGGCCACGAGGGCGGGGCCTTGATCTGCTAGGATTAGTGTCCCTGTGAGAGACACTCTCTACTCTGCAGGTGCACGAGCAGCAAGTCAGGTGAGCATGCAGCACACAGCAGTGACCTCGAGGTAAGGCCTCAAGGCCCTGGGATGGAACCTACCTTGTTGGCGCCTTGACCTCAGACTTCCAGCCTCCAGAAGAGGGAGAAAGAATTATCTGTTGTCTGAGCTGCTGGGTCTGTGCTGTTCTGTTCTAGCAGCCTGAGCTAAGACAAGGGCCTCTGCTTTTCTTCAGGTAGATCAATTGCTTGCTATAGATAAAAAAGTTTGAAAAAATGGACACTGATGCAGGTGCAAAAATGCCTTTTTTTGTTGGAATTAGACAGCGGTAGTGGCTGAACACTGTGAACAGAACTTTAAAATGGTTAGTTTTGGGATCCCTGGGTGGCTTAGAGGTTTATCACCTGCCTTTGGCCCTGGGCGTGATCCTGGAGTCCCGGGATTGAGTCCCGCATCGGGTTCCTTGCATGGAGCCTGCTTCTCTCTCTGTCTGTCTCTCTCTCTCTCTCATGAATAAAATCTTAAAAATAAATAAATAAAATGGTTAGTTTTATGTGAATTTCAACACACTTGAAAACGGTAAAAAAGAAATACACTTTTTATACTGTGACCCAAAACCTACACATACGCACACAGGACAATTTCTATGCAACAACACTTCTGCTTCCTCTGTGGTTTCTTCTTAGGTTTTAACTACTCTTCCTCCCTCCCCCTCATTTGCCTCTTGGGCTGGTTATGAACCAACATTTTGGAGCTGTCTGGTTTGCTTTTTGCTGATTCAACCCTACTAAATAAAGACTTGACTGAGTGCCCATTCTGCAGAGCACCACAGAGGGGGTCTTGAGAGTTGACTTACAGGTCCTCAGAACCATCTAGGCGCGTACTCGAGGGAGTAGCAGTACTGCGGACTTCCTAAAAAGAAACCAGGGCACATCCAGCCTGTATGCTGCCCGGCCTGGCTCACAAGCATAGCTGCCTATACTGTTTCTTAAAGTCTATTTCTCCAGGAAAATGAAGCCCAGTGCCCCAGTTCACCTGCTCTCCACTCCACAGGAGCCTGGCACTTGGCATTGTGCAGGGCTACTGCTCCCACACAGGACACACACACACACACACACACACACACACACACACACACTGCTTCTATGGAGAAAGTCAACCAAATCCAAAGTGGGGCATAAAACGAAGTCAGCAATAGATATTGCTCTAGAATAAAAAAGACCCGAGAACAGAACATAGTAGCCCTTACTGTGGACAATTGCCACAACAGCTCCAATTGATTCCTTTTCCTGCCCCCATGCTGCTGGGTGGCGCCCCACACTCAGGCAAGTTTGCCTGTGCCATCTGCTCTAGCCAATAGGATGTGACAAAGGCGACCCGGGCAGAGTGACAAGTACTGGCACATTGACGCGTGCATTCTTGCTGCATCATTCTTGTTCTCCTAGCTGCCTGCCAGACGTGCATGAGGCCACCCTCTACCATTCATCCCCAACCGGGCCAGCCCAGCCCACTCAGACTCGTGAGAAATAATGGTTGATTCAAGCCATTACATTTTAAGGTAGTTCATTATGCAGCAAAAGCTAACTGGATCCTGATCCAAACAAGCTCATCATAAAAAACCCATTATTGAAACAATCAGGACAATTTGAATAAGGACTGGATAGTTGATGACAAAGTTCTTGTCAATTCTATGAGGTGTAACTCTGGCAAGGTGTCCTTGTTTGGGCAGCATGCTGATTTCTGCGGAAAATGACATGCTTCAAGTTTGTTGTCAAATACTCCGGCTGGGGCACCTGGGTGGCTCAGTGGTTGAGGGTCTGTCTTTGGCTCAGGTCGTGATCCTAGGGTCCTGGGATCAAGTCCCACACCCAGCTCCCTACAGGGAGCCTTCTTCTCCCTCTATGTTTCTGCCTCTCTCATGAATAAATAAAATATTTACAAGAAAAAACAAAAAACTCCCAAATACTCTGGCAGAGTTGTTGAGTGGTGGGTACAGGCACCAGGGCTCCTTACACACCAGTGTTCCCTCTGCCTCCTCAGATTCTGGATCCACTGATGTGGATGTAGCTCACTATGCCTGTCAGTTAGGGTTAGACAAGGACTGTGTAGCCCCAGGGAAAACTCACGGAGAGTGGGAGTGTCTGAGGAGCACAGCTTGGAGGGAGCACACAGAGGATGGAAAAAGTATCTGGGAGGCAGGCAGGGACGGGTTGGGAGGTACAGATGGAAACCAGTAGGGCTGTGCTATGAAAGCCAGAGCTCCCTGAGGTACAAAAATCAAATTTTGTGGAGGTGAAGCAGTTAATTTTTCCTTTTTAAAAGATTTTGAAAGTGAGGGAGCATCAGTGAGGGGAGGGGCAGAAAGTGAGAAGCAGACACTCCCCCCACCCCCAATGAGCAGGGAGTCCAATGAGGGGCTCGATTCAGGATTCTGGGATCATAACCTGAGCCAAAGGCAGATGCTTGAACATCTGAGCCACCCAGGTACCCCCCCGCCTCATCCTTCCTGCCCCCTTTGGAGATTTTGGGAAAGAGAGCAAGGAGTAACTTTTTTTTTTAAATAAGATTTTATTTATTTATTCATGAGACACAGAGAGTGAGAGAGAGAGAGAGAGGCAGAGACACAGGCAGAGGGAGAAGCAGGCTCCACGTGGGAAGCCCGATGTGGGACTCAAGCCCGATGTGGGACTCAAGCCCGATGTGGGACTCGATCCCGGGTCCCCAGGATCAGGCCCTGGGCTGAAGGTGGCGCCAAACCGCTGAGCCACCTGGGCTGCCCAGGAGTAACTTTCCTGATCAGAGACCAGTCTTAGTGGATTGTAACACTTTTCCTCAATTTTCTTACAGAATCTATACAAATGGGTATATTTCACTTTACTCAAGATTTCCAAAGTTTATTATTGGTTTGAAAACTGGCAATTTCTAGTGTGTGGGCACTATCTTGGGCATGAGAGAGATGTAGTGGAGTCAGGCATCAGTGACCAGCCTGGGGCCATCTGGTGTCAGCCTCACATGGGGGGGGGGGGGGGGCTGGGGAAGCAGTCCAATTGGAGGCAGTGGCGCCCACTAGGGGTCAGGACACTAGAACAGCTTCTTGCTAGGTTATCAACCCCCCCACCACTTGTGACATGGGATACAGTTCACAGATCACGGAATTTGAGAGCCACAGGATCCTGATTACAATCCAAGGCCCTGCAGGAACCCATTCATGGTTTCGCGGCCAGCAGTCTCGTGCGGGGAGTTTCATCACGGCTGCACTCTTTCCTGGTGCCAACACGGGTAAGGAGTCTCAAGTGCACATTTCAAAACGTCCAGTTAGGAGCATGGTTGTGCTAGGCCATGTGAAGACATGGGTAGCTCTGCACATTTTGGTACACTCAGATCTGGGCTGGTCCCTCCCAGCTGAGAGCATCTTCATCCACTTACCCCAGTGTCCATACTGAATCTCCTGTGTGCCCCAATGTGAAAGATGTAGAGGGGCTTTGCAAGATTTATAGGACAAAGGCTAGGGTTATGTGCTTTAATAAGGCACTGAGCTTGATTTATCTATTTTGGGAAATGAACTAGGGAATATAAGTTCATTTAAAGTCATTTTAAAATTCTCAACTTTTTTTTTTTTAAATTCTCAACTTCTGAGATAGGTTAATGTCTGGGTCAAAGCCAACACCTCTTAAGTAGCATACCAGCTCCAACTGCTGGGATTCAGCTGGGAAATGGGGAAGTCTTATGCCCACCTGTGCCCAGCCCCACCAGCAGAACTTGGCAGCAGGAGGGGAGGACAGGGTCCCAGATGATCTGACAGGCAGGGTACATCAGGACCGGGAGTCGGATGAAGCCCTATTCCACTGCAGTGCACACATCAAACTGCTCAGCCTTGGAGGTCAGGTGACCTGAAGAAAGCTTTACAGTGTGGATGGATCTCAAGCCTGAAACCTCTTGGCTCAAAGTAGAGAGCAGCCAAGCTTCCTGCCAAGTTCAAAGAAAACGGGCCGACTGGAGGTTACTACAACACTTACATCTCTGTTAACTTACCTCCTTGCAAGTGACTGCAAAGGGCTCCTTTGGCTTCCTGAGACTGTGGGATGCCTCGGAGACTTCAGATCACAGAATCCAGACTCCGGGTGCTGGGCTAAGCGATGTTGGCTGGGCCCTTCGGTACAGCAGTGGCTGCGGACAGGACAGTGGCCCTGCAGGTGGGCTCCCAGAGACCAAGATTCGTCCTAGCAGGAGGCTGCTTGCTAGAGACCGGAGTCCCCGTGAACAAATTACTTGTCTGCGAGGTCATTCATGCCCCTTCAGCCTAGAGGCCGGAGACCAGCAGGAGACCAGTAGGCTCATCATCAACCCTATGGACAGTCTCCAGTGAGGAAGCGGGCGCTTGCCCTGGCTGCAGCATGGAACAACCGCAGGAGTCTCATCAGTGTGCTCGCTGGGTGCTCACAGGACAGACGCGGACATGCACGAGACCCTTTTCCAGCTTAAGACTTATATGTGGTGTGAAACAGGAATGCAGGTTTACAGGCAGTGGGAGTGGGGGCTTAAATGATGACGACGAGAGACCCCAGGAAAAGAGCAACCGTTTTTATAAATGAGTATCAGGAAAACAAATGAGAGAAACAGCTTTTTCTCTGAAGGACTGAAGAGCATAAAATAACTACCAAGAGACAGAGTGTGAAAAGTATATAACAGATTTCTTTTTTATTTACAATCAAGTTCTGTTGGGCAACATAATTAAATAAATAAAAGATGCGCCCTGGCCTGTGAATTCCACCTCCCCTTGAGCTCTTGGAGCAGCACGCTGGAAAGTGGGGGAGGAGGGCTGGGGGTAGAGGGAGGACGGACACGGCGCCCCTCCTCACCCAGCTCCAGCACTCATACCCACAGCTGTCCAGAGAACAAGTGTGGAAGGAAAAAAATAAAGTGCAAATTAAAAAGTGATGAAAGTATTGGTGTTTCAGTCACTCAGGAACTAAAATGATATACACAGGTAAAATGGCAAAGATAAATGTAAAAAAAAAAAAAAAAAAAAAAAAAAAAAGCCACAGGCCAGTTTTTCCCTGGCCTTGATCCTAACTCCTGAAACCTAAAGAGGACATCCCCATGCTTCTTGGAATGGGCTTCTCGCACTAAAGCACCGAGGGGGTATTGCACATAGGCTTGGCAAAGGGGCAGTGACCTGGAACTGCTGGCTCCGGGCTAATACATTCGAGGCCTCCAATCCCTTGTTACCAGTGACTGTAACTGAGGCGCACCTGGGAAGAAGGTGGTGCACACCCCGCCCACTTTCTGGAAGTCCACTCCTGCAGCACGTGCACTTCCCCCGAAGGTTTCAGCACTTCCTCTCCTACATCCGAAAAGTTCTTTCAGCCACAGACTTATTTCTTGACCAAGAAATAGGTATGTAAGCATTGTTAGGGAGAAAGGAAGCCCAAACCTTTGAAGAACAACTGCTTTCTAAGAACGGTTTAGGAGATCTAAGGAAATTCCAACAGTAATCAGATGAGATCAGAGTAAGAACTTTGTAATAATGACACAGACCAGCAGGGAGGACCACAGTCCTGTCGTCTCCTCAGAAATCAGGGCAGCCCCTGTGGGCTGAGGGCAGGGGTAATCCTGTTTGGGTTTCTGTTAATCCAATGATTCGAGCGAGTTCACCGGGAAAACCACCCCGAGGTGATAGGACATGCGTTCGGCCAGGACTGACTCTGGAAGGACGGGAGAAAGCACGGAGGGAGAACCGACACCCAGACGCGTGGGGTGTTGTTGGCACTGCCAGCGAGCGAGGAACCCGGCAGGTGCCTGTGCTCCCCCCACTGAGGTATGGAAGATCAGAGCCAGTAGTGTTTCCCACCCAAATCAAGGCAAGAACCTGAACCTCTGCTAAGGGACTGCAGGGCCAGACTTTTTTCAGTGTTATTCTTTCAGGCCATTCAAGACCTCAGCTAAAATCCTCAGAAATCCTGTTCAAAGGAAGGCCATTGCCTCACATGGCTCCAGCTCTTCTCCGGAGGTCAAAGCTAACACCCAACACACCACCTGCCAGGACAGAGCTGCGGGAGTTGGTGTGCTTCTCCGGCTTCAGCTCTACTCTCTCGAGGAAGTGCCATCAATATTCCGACCAGAGCACAGCTTTGCTTCCTTTGTCCACACTGACAACGTGCGAGCCGGAGGGGGACCACGCCACAGCATTGATGGACGAGCTTCAAAGAGAGAGGTTGAAACATCTGTGAGATCTTAGTAACCTGAATGCCAGGCTCCCTCGAATTCAGGGAGCAAGGCTTTTGCCAACCTGGTTTACTGGCCAGGATCGCAGCCACTCACTGACAGGACCCTGTTAATGAGCACCAGGATGCAAACCCTGCACTGTGTTTTAGGAAACAGTCTAGGAATGAAAGGAGTCAGGTGTGTCCTAAGGGGGTAGCTTGCATCCTCAAACAAGAGCCTCAGGGGACTGAATAGGGAGTAGACAGTGGCTACTGCCCTTGGGGGTAGGGAGAGGTGGTTCTGGAGGAAAGCTCTTGTCTATCCCAACTAGCACTTGAGCTTGGGTGGAGAGAACAAACCTAAGAAAAAAAGGAGCCTGGAGGAGGACTGAAAAATAGTCTATGAAAATCAGTGTTTACAACCAGTCTCCCAAGAAAAGAAGTTCAGAGGGGAGAAGCAGAGGGAAAGAGGGAGAGCAGAGAGACAGGATGCTTCCCTTTCTCCAGCAGCCACTACTCGAAGGGCTCTAACTGGGGTAGCCTGTGATCCCACTAAGCAGAACGTGGCTCCTCGCCGTACCCCACGAACAGCCCCAGCCTCTCCCCACTAACCCTGTTCACAGCATAGCACCCAAGCACACGCTGCCCTCATGGGGCTGATCTGGTCCATGCCCCAAGGGCCAAGACCCCTGGGATGAAATCACAGTACATGCACACCACCTCAGGGGGTAACAGGGTTCACCTTACCCATGCTGCTTGGAAAGGACTTTCTCCACTTTCCCTGAGAGCACGCTCCAGATGTAGAGAGAGCCCTCAGCCGAGCCCGCTGCCACATAACCACCATCAGGGCTGCAGAACACAGTAAGACCAGAAAAGGTGTCAACTGCCCATCCTCAATTCAGTGTCCTGTGAGAGAAGTGCCGTGCAAAGCAAGAACTGGGAAACGGGGTGCCCTTCTCCAGAGAGTCCACCTTCCCTAGCAGCTCTCAAACAGTTCTTAGGGACACCAGACAGGTAGGAAACCGTGATAGTGACCCCTGGTGATGGGCTTCCAGGTCACTCCTGGACACTCCCCTAGGGTGAGACAGTGTATAGATGCCCCTCTGGGATGCACCAGGTTGGGAGGTGGGAAGGGGGCAGGAGGAGCATCGCTCACAACTCACCTAAACACAACTCTGGTCCAATCGGAGCCGCACTTGAACCCAGGTGCGCTGAAATCAACAACAGCACTGTTACCCCAAGAGCTCACACCACACAGGATTTAAGAGAGCAGGGTCAGGGCTTCTCAGGGCCTCTGGTGTTCATGCAACCTCCAGAAAAACGGCAAGATTCAAGTAAAACCCAAACCAGCATGTCTTCAGTTACCTAAACGTCTGTCTGACAGCATTTATTCGCAGATCGATGATCTTTAGCAGGTCATCACGGGAGCAGCTGAGGAGTTCTGTTCTTTCCGGGTTTAAGTCCAGGGCCGTAATCTTCCCCAGCAGCTCCATCTCCCGGACGATGCTCTCCGATCTATGAAAGCGATGTAAAGTCTGAGAAGATGTAATACAGAGGTGCCAGACCTTCCCCATTTTGACCAGTTGCCATGCTCCATGGGGAAAAGAGGGAAATAAAGGTAATTTGACTAGAATGCAGTACTTTTCAAGGACAGTGACTGTCTCCCGACCTTGTAAAAATCACCTTAGGGACTGCTTTTACTATTTTTCTGCCGATACATTTCTATAGTAATAGTTTAAGCACTAGAACTCTGAATTAGGGAAGAATTTATTATTTTTGTCAATACATTCCACAGTAATAGTTTAAGTACTAGAATTCTGAATTCAAGAATTTCCTCACCTGTTTGGGGAATGCTACAGTAACTGCCAATCAGAGCTTCAGATCAGCACAAACTAAGCAGGGCTCATAACCATTTAGTACTCTTCTGATGATAATGCCAACGTGACCAAGGGCTCATGAGCTTGCTCTGGTGGGTGTGGGACACTGTACTGTATACTGACAAACATGTGGCTTCTCACAGACTCTCTGCCTTAAAAGTTCAGCTCCAGGGTCCCCCAATCCAGCTGAGTGATTCCAGGTGTGGAGCTGGACTCCAGAGCAGAGTTCTTGCCCCAGACAAGTCCTTCTTCTTCCTTTCAGTTGCCCAACTGTCCTCCAGGCTCATCGCTACCCAGGCCCATGAACAGCAAGCTTACAGGGCCCTGTTGGTACAGCCAAAGGAGGTGCGGACCCTTCTATAGTTATTTTGTTGTAAGCTTTCAACGAAACCAAAACTGAGAGTGCTTATCTTATTGTTGCTGAACGTGTGGCTGGAGACCAGCCAATGCACTTCCCTGGGTCATCTTCTGGCCAATTAGGGGGTGGACCAGGACACTTTCAATATCTGGTTTAACACTAAAATGCCATGTTTCCGGTTCAAAAAGGCTAACCAAAGGTTATGAATAAAACTTGGAAGTGCTGTCCAGGAGCTGCTAGCTTCCCAACAGGGCTTTCTATGTATCATCAGTAAGCATAGGCTCCTTGCCCCCACCCTTCCACAACCACCCCACATTCCCCTGACCAGCAACAACCTCCCTCCTAACCCACCAGCCTTGTCCCAGGGCCTTATCCCACCAGACTCTGCCCACCATCCAAACTCTCTGCTCCCCCAACAGTGGCCCATCAACAGGACCCTCCAGTTTTCCATCTATGGCCACCCTCCTCGGCGGCTCCCTAAAATATGGTCTATTTCATGGGTTATCTCTGAGTCATTCTCATGTTTTCAGAGTCTTCCTGCGACGACTTGTTTTTTTCCCCATCCAACCCCTCTCCAAAATTGTTTATCCAAATGTCTCTTAGAAACCACAAACTTGCATGCTAATCAGAATACAGTATCTATTGATTATTCCCCATCTGGCTTCAGTTCTCCCTTTCCTCACCCCCCATATGCCAAATGTTCCCTCAAATCTGTTCCCTTCCATCTCTCCTTTACTGCTTGAGGAACCTACTCCCAGGACACCGTCTGAGCACCACCAGCACCATCTACTCACTCATGAGAACAGTCCTTTGTTAAATACCCGATGGCTTATAGGAGGAAGTCACTTACAGATGGCCATCTGATCCCTACCCACCAGCTGCTAGTCCTGTCTGCCCATGGCCCAACCTACCAGGCTGTCTGCTGTCCTGGCTGGAAAGTCTGTCAGTAACTTTTCTTTTCTTTTTTTTTTTTTAAAAGATTTTATTTATTTATTCCTGAGAGACACAGAGAGAGAGGCAGAGATACAGGCAGAGGGAGAAGCAGGCTCTGTGCAGGGAACCTGACGTGGAACTCAATCCTGGGTCTCCAGGATTAGGCCCTGGGTCGAAGGCGGCGCTAAACCGCTAAGCCACCCGGGCTGCCCCATCAGTAACTTTTCTGCCGTGGGACACCCACTCAGTTCTCCAGACTCATCCTGCCAGGTGTTCTCTCATGTCCTTGGACAAAGATGCCTGGCTCTACTTGAGAACCGTGCAGACCTATGTGTCTACCTTCCCCATGACATTTCAAACTACCTAGCTGTTCATTTTTGCTTACCTAGCAGCTGGCAAAGTGCCTAATAAGTGTAGCGGGTGTGCTCATAAGTGATCACTGAACGCAACAGCCTACTTCATGGTCAAGAATACCAAACTACTGAGATAAATGTGGACTGCAGCTCCTTTCTGCCACCTCCAGGGATTTTAAAAAACACTCCGCATAAATAAAACCTCACGAGTGGGAAGACCCACTCATCTGCCTCCCCCACCAAGCTCTGGGGTATTATACCGGATGTCCCAGAAACGAATTTTCTTGTCAAAATGGCCACTCATGACACACTGCTCTGTGCAGACGATATCGTTGCAGCTGGATCCTGCAAACACCGTCTTTATGCCTGAAAGAAAACCGAACGTTAGTCATCAAGCACAGGCCCCTCCATGGCTGTGCAGGCAGCATGGCTTCCCTCTTGCTCTAAGTAACCAGAGCTTCTTATTTGGACACAATATCAAACAAGAAAAGCTGTCACTACCTCAAAGCCACTCTGAATATGACACTATTCTTGCAATTCAAACTGTATCACGCTAGTAGACTTTCAAGTGGAAACAAACACCTCCCGGTTAACGTCTAATTGTACATATAGACAGAGAGACTGAATTTCCTCACAGACTTTGCTGCGTAGATCCCAGAGCTTGAGGGTCCGGTCATGACTTCCAGAAACAATACGGGCATTGTCCAGCAGGAATTTGGCAGACAGCACTTTGCCGCTGTGTCCTGTGAGCGTGTGCTAGGAGAGAACACAGCCAGGGTAAGCCTTGGGGGCCCCCCATGCTGGAAGAGCTAGCTTCTCCAAACACCCAGAGATCTGGTCAGGAATATTCAGACAGAAGGATATGTAGCTCGGCAAAACATCTAAAAAGCCTATCTTGTGGTGTCGCCCAGAGGTGAGGTTTCAAGAGGAAGAACATCAATTTCCCAGGACAAAAAAACATAAAAAAAAAAAAAAATCTAACACCACTAGAGCCAACTTCATGTGTCTCTATCCTCAAAAAAGGGATGGGCAGATGGAGGACCTTTTTGAAATAAGCTCTGTTATAGATACCACCAGTCTGTAGTATTCTATTCTTGCAAAAAAAAAAAAAATTTTTTTTTTTGTAAATCTGGATTGTATCAAATTATAGAATTTTTAAAAGCCTGGATTTAAAAAAAAAAAAAAAAAAGCCTGGATTTTACCCAGTGCCCATGAAAGTCCAGACCCTATTTAAAGTCACAACAGATAGGTTCCCTGCAGGCATAATTTACAAAAGGAAACATCAGAACTCTTTAAATAAACAATTAAAACCCCTGGGGTTTTTTTTCAATCAGAGGTCTCAGCTTGAAATGTCAGACCATAACCACAGATACCAGCACTCCCAACAATCAAACCTTTTCGTGGCTAGCTGCGGGGTGCTAGCCAAGGAACACAGAACTGGGGCGTCTCCCAGCACCAGCAGCCCTTCTGCCCACCACAGCACTACTGGAGCCCAGTGGGATGCCAAAGGTGCAAGGAGGAGACCCTGGGAGTCAGACCTTTCAGTATTCATCACTGACTTTTCACTGCAGGTCAACATGTTTCTATGTACAAAATCGCAAAGGCTCAGAAGGTATTCACTGAGATTTTCTTTCTAACCAACTAATAAATAAATAAAGTCTGTAAAAGCTTTAATATAGTTACTGCAACTGCTAACTTATTTATTGGGTTTCAACACTGACTTCCGAAGATGAGAACTCACAGTTCCGTGTTAAATGTTTAGTGCTTCCCTCTCTCCTTTCAGCACAGGAGCAGAAGACTCAGGCCCACACGTACTTCTCCCTTTCAAAGGGGGAAGCTGGCACAGACTTGAAGACTCTCCCACATTTAAACCTCTCTGAAACTGGAACGGCATCATATAATTGCTGCCAGCAAGGGGCAGCTGTGCTGTGGCTGTGTAAAAACCTCCCACGGATCCTTCTCGTAAGATCAAGAAAACTCCAGCAATGAGGTTTACATTCACTATATTCTGGGAGTAAGGATTCTACTTACCATAGATCATCCAAACTGTATGGATCACGGGGAGACATACAATCTTGCAAAGGTACACCTCATGCTATGTAAATTAAGTGTGGAGAAAAGAACTCCATTGGGACACCTGGTTGGCTCAGCAGTTGAACAGCTGTCTTCAGCTCAGGTCACGATCCCAGGGTCCTGGGACCGAGTCCCATATCACACTCCCCACAGGGAAACTGTTTTTCCTTTTTCCCTCTGCCTATCTCTTTGTGTCTCTCATGAATAAATAAATATCTAAAAATAAATAAATAAATGAAAACTCCATCATCAACGTTTTGGGTACGTTCACTGTTTATTTTCTTCTTACAGAAGTAAAACCACAGCTAGCAAACACTGGAGGGAGAAGCTACTTTTTGTGAACTCCAAATGCATGTTAATACTTTCATCCATCTCATGTGAAAACACTCCTAAAAATTTATCCACTGCTCTTTTAACATTATAGTGGAAGTCGGTTTTCGTGTGACAGCTGAAGACGCATGGGTTCCGGAGTCAAAATGCTCTGGCTTTGGACAACTGGGGCTTGAACATCTGTGGGACTAACCTCTTCTTCCCACTGATTTGGTAAAAGGACCAAACAAGGTGACCTGTGCATAAAGCCCGCTGCTGGGGGCATTAATGCTCTTCCTTTCTGTACCTGCTAAGAACCTTCATAGTTATTCTGAGAGTTAAATAATCTTCAAGTGGCGATTATAATTAAATGGAAATTTCTGTGCCCAGCAAACACCTAGGTCACTTTACATTTCATGAGCACAAATAGTGCTGTAGAGAACAGCTATGGGCACACCACTTTCTCTAGACATCTCAGAATAAAACCGCTGGACTGACAAAACAAGAATACTGTTATTTCATGGCTCTTCATGTGTGTGTCAGCTTGCTTTTTAAAAAGTCCGGGCTTCTGGGGACACCTGGGTGGCTCAGTGGTTGTGTCTCCCGCAATGTTCAGGGCGTGGTCCTGGGATTGAGTCCCACATCGGTCTCCCCATGGGTAGCCTGCTTCTCTGTCTCTGCTTCACTATCTCTCATGAATAGAATCTTAAAAAAAAAAAGCCTGGGCTTCTGCAAATCTCATCTTTGGAGGAGATCCAGCTGATGGGCTCCTTCTCCACACCCTCAGAGGTATGGAATGCAGCCTCCTCCAGGTTACTTCTCATCATTTGCAAGTCCTTGCTCAGAGTGCATCAGATTTATGTCAAATTTTTATCCACTCAGTGTTTTTGATATTTCAATATTTAATTCAACTTATTTTTCAGGTTTTATCTTCTTTTTTCAAACGGTGGCCCTTAAGAGATGGGGCAGCGGGTTCATGTGTCAGAGGGGCCTCAGTCTGTCTTCTTCAAGGGCCGCCGCCTACCATGCAAGGAGCTACCACTAGCACCACCACCCAGGTAACTGACCCCAGAAAAATGTAAAACTCGATGAGGATATTTCTGAGGCAAAAACCACCATCTGAAAGCCAGTCTCATTACTGTGGTTAACTTTTCATGTCAACATTAGAGAAGTGAACAGGTGGGCTGTTCAACCCCATTCCTCAAGTCACATTTTAGACAGCAACTAGGCAGTTTTGCAAGGACCTTCTGGATTTTTAAAGGAGTGTGAAACACCCGCTATTCAAAGGAGTGCTCTATAAAGGACCCCTTTCAGTAATAGGCTGTTCCTAGAACACTTTTACTACAAGGATTTTTTATGTTGTTTTTTAAATTTATTTATTCCTTTGAGAGAGACAGAGGGAGCGTGCACACATGCACGCATAAATGTCAAGGAGAGGCAGACTCCCTGTTGAGTAGGGAGTCAGACAAGGGGTTTGATCCCAGGACCTTGAGATCACGACCTGAGCAGAAGGCAGATGCTTAACCAACTGAGCCACTCAGGTGCCCCTACTATAAGGATTTTAAAGCAAACAGTCTCTCCCAACACTGTTCCCTTATTATAAAAACTAAGAGCTTAAATCCTGAATTTCAGAACATGGACTTCTGTGTCTTCCAACATCCTCTGTTAACTAGGGTCTAAGTGGAAGCCAGAGTCTCCTACAACAGGGAGTCTTATTTACTTCCTGAACCCCAGTGAGAGTTTCACGTGGATTCTCTGGGCACAGAGAAGCTGCTTAAAAAGGCCTCCGGATCTTCATCACACATACACGGACAGCATGCCCTCAAAGCCAGCTGGCCTACCTAGGGAGGCTACTGTCCTAGCACCAACTCCCAACCTGTCAGTAACCCTAGCTGAAGACTCATGCTCCACCTTGGTGCTCCTTTTCAACTCTCTTGAAAAAAGTTTCCCAGGGCAGCCCGGGTGGCTCAGCAGTTTAGTGCCGCTTTCAGCTCAGGGCCTGACCCTGGAGACCTGGGGATCAAGTCCCACGTCGGGTTCCCTGCATGGAGCCTGCTTCTCCCTCTGCCTCTCTCTCTCTCTCTCTGTCTCTCATGAATAAATAAAATCTTAAAAAAAAAGAAAAAAAAAAAAGAAAAAAGTTTCCCAACATTATGATCTCTGTCTTCTAGGTCCAGCTCCCAACCCCCTATTTCCAATCCAAGGACTGATGCCCACCTGAACAGAACTGTTCCACCAACGAAAAATATCATCCAGGACAACTGGCTGACCCAACTGCTTTTCTCCTCCAAGGGCCTACGATGTAAGGAGGGCTATATATCCCTCTTCAGAGTAGGCAGTTCTGCTGTACCTGTCTCTAGAGGCACTAGAATAATCAAGGTCAAACAGAGAAAAGCAAGGGGCTCAGTTCCCATTCTCATCTCATCTGGTAGCTCTGGGACCTTAGGCAATTCTGTGGGCTTATCTGAGCCTCAGTTTCCCCATATACCTATCTCATCTTGTTTCCCTGGGGATGAAAACGCAGGAGGGTGCAAACAATACCTCAGTACTAGGTTTGACACATGATAGTCACTCAGGAAGAGTCCTTCCTTCCTTTAGGCAAACTAATGACTGCACAAATGTTTAACCCTGTCCTAGGTGTCCAGTAAGTGATCGATGTTTAACAGAGCACAGCACGGCCTACAATGGCTTATAATGCTGCCATGACAATGGGCTAGGCCATGTTGGCGATGCAGAAGTAAAGGGCTACAACTGAAAACCTGTTCAAGCGTCAGAATAGACGTGACTACTGCTTCAGCAGAGGGGCAGCTCTGCCCACCGGGGCTCAGTGCTCTACCTCCATTCCTCCATTCAGACAAGAACACGGAGAGGCTCTTTGGCTTTCACACAGGAATGTAATCTTTGTCAGCTTCAAGTCCCAGACTTTGCATGTGTAGTCCTGGATCCTCTTTCAACTCAGAATTAAGGGTCACCACCACCTGTGAGGTATCGAATCCTCGAATTCTAGCATCTAATACTGATGATTTTCCCTACAGCTCCTTCAAGAAAATGGAGAGCCTAAATGATAGGTTAACCATGCATTTCTAAAGATTCTTCTAGCTGCATCCCAGTATCATCCAATCAGACCACTGTCAACTACCCAATGGACCATTCACCATTCTGCTGCAGCTCCCCACCTCTCTGTAGTTTTACCTTGAAGTTCATGTGGGTTGACAAACCTTGCATCAAACTTTTTTCTTCTCAAAAAGCTCAGCCTCCCTCTTACCTTTCAACAGGCCTTTCCTTTATGAGCTCACATGAAAATTGCTTCAGGCTTAGGAGAAAAACATTTTCTCCAAATTAAGCTATTTGTCTTTCATTAGAACAAAAGTGCAATAACCATGAAGTTTTGGTCTTTGTTGTGGAGGCCGAGTGACTTCTTCGCCAACTCTGGGTTCACAGGCAAATTCCTCCACATGACCCTGACCTTCCCCTCCCACCTGCTCCCAGCTTGTATCAGAGCTGTGTTTCTCACTATCTTAAGTGCACCTACATGCACTCCTATGTCCTACTTTCAGCTCTACTCTGGGAGCTCATCATTAGCTCTGGAGCCTGTAACAAACACAACTTCTACAGCAGTGCTGGGATCAATGAAGCTCTGCCAAAACGGATACCTGCCTCAAGTATCTAGTTCTTAGGAACAGGAATACCCTGAGGCTTTCATGCGAAATTTGATGGCTTCCTAATGCAAATATTCTGCAACTGAATCTTGGACAAAGGAAGAAAATTTTCCCAAGGGAGAAAGAGAAGGGCAGGTGGGAATCAAGTATGATTTTTAGGAAAACACAGCCATCCTAATGAATCAATCTGCCATTTCCTACATTTTGTGCCTTCAGAACCTAGGTAAGTTTGGAGATTATATTAATTTTCTTAAGTGGGTCTTACCCGTAACCGATAATCATCCACAGTCCAGATTCGACTTGCAAAATCATTTGAAGCTGCTAAGAGGTAAGATCCCTATGGGAATAAGGGGGAAGAAAATTTTAGACAAAGTAGAGGATTTCAGTCCACACGATACAAATTCCCCAAGAATCAAGTCCAGAAACAGGTTTATTAGATGCTCGAAAGCTACACATCTGATGTGAATACCAACTGTTACCCCAATATTCTGTGAACCCACCAGCTGTGGTAAATCCACACTTGCTCTATCCTGCCGTCCCGCTAGAATGCTGCACACCCTCCAGCTCAAACTGGTCCTCTTGAGTTCACTAGCCACGCCTTAACCCTGTTCGGTAACATCAGATACCAATTCTCTACACTCTCCAAGCTGCAGAACTCAGAGGTACCGACTGTCCCCTCCCTCAACCTCCCAAAACTACTCTCCCTGAGACCCCCCCCCGGTCTCTGATGCACCCAGCTAGACCCCTTCCCCATTACCTGCACTGCCGGGGCTTCAGCTGTGGACTTCGGGAAGTCTGCAGAGGCACTGACTGGCCAGGGCACCCCAGACCTGCCCCCCCCCCCACCCAGTCTTCAATAGTCACAGCCAGCACAGAACTTCTAATCTATCTGCATCCTGATCTAACACTGATTTAACTTACGATAGAAAACAGCAGGGAAACTGAGTAACTTTAAATTTCAAAAACCGGATGTCTTACATGGTTTCTAAACACCTCTGAGCACACCCATTTCTGAGGACACGGGATACTTACAGCACTGTCAAATTCGATGCTCGTAATTCCCGCATTACTGCCGGACAGGGAACCCTTGAACTCACATTTATCTAGATGAAAAGGAAGACAGAGGAGAGAAAGTAAAGTAAAGCCAACACCTATGTTACAACGGGGCACCGGAAACCCAGGGGAAGTCAATCAGAGACAGCATCTAAGAGCAGGGGGACAAATGCAGTGGTGAGGCAAGAATACACAGCTGGCCAGCTGTAAGAGCCACCAGTGTGTGTCTGTGGATACAGGGCCCAGCACTTTGCATGTGCTACGCTTTTCTTTCCTAGAAATGTAGTCAATTCGCTTTACAAAGAAAGACATGTCAGTCAATCCATTTAGAGACTGAATTTTAGTTCTGCTCTTTTTCAGTAAAAATGTCTAATTCAGATAAATACATCTTTGGGTTTGATCAATATTTATGTTAATTTAACAATCACTTCTATAGAACCTGACCACTAAATTTTTCAGAATCCATATGGTAATTCTCATTAGGGTCTGAAAAGAAATTTTTTAAAAAATTTTTATTTATTATTTATGATAGTCACAGAGAGAGAGAGAGAGAGAGAGAGAGAGAGAGAGAGAGAGAGAGAGAGGCAGGCAGAGACACAGGCAGAGGGAGAAGCAGGCTCCATGCACCGGGAGCCCGACGTGGGATTCGATCCTGGGTCTCCAGGATCGTGCCCTGGGCCAAAGGCAGGTGCTAAACCGCTGCGCCACCCAGGGATCCCTGAAATTTTTTAAAAATTATGTGTAGGGACGCATGGGTGGTATGATCTTGGGGTCTGAGATTGAGTTCTGCATCAGGCTCCCTGCAGGAAGCCTGCTTCTCCCTCTGCCTATGTCTCTGCCTCTCACGAATAAATAAAATCTTAAAAAAAAAAAAATATGTGCAATTGGCTAGTTCTTAGAATGCCAGTAAAGCTAGTTTGGAGTTTCTGGAATTTGCCTGTACACTTAATCTGTCTCTGGGAACCTAAGATTCTGGCAATCCAACTGGATGCCAGTGCTTCCCTCTCCCTAGCCTCTCTCACCAACAGACCCAGCCACAGGCTCCTGGGTCCTATTCTCAGACAGCTCTGGCCACCCACGTGGGAACTTTAATGATGCAGGCACAAAGTGACAAGAGTACAAGTCTCAAGATGATGTGATCAAGCCCCCCCAATTAAAGGGTAGCTTAAGAATGACAAACTTGGAAAACAATCATTTAAATCAAAATCATAAAAGGGGTTGGAGTGCCTGGATGTCTCAGTAGGATGAGAATCCGACTCTTGATTTCGCTCAGGTCATGATCTCAGGGTCTTGAGATCAAGCCTCCTGTCAGTCTCTGTGCTCAGAGCAGAGTCTGCTGGAGATTTTCTTTCTCCCTCTTTCTCTAAAATAAATAAATCTTATAAAAGAAACTCATAAAATGGGAGCACAAATTAGAAGACATTTCAAAAAGTCTTTAGAGATGCCTGAGTGGGTCAGTGGTTTAGCACCTGCCTTTGGTCCAGGGCTGATCCTGGAGTTCCGGGATGGAGTCCCACATCGGGCTCCCAGCATGGAGCCTGCTTTTCCCTCTGCCTATGTCTCTGCCTCTCTGTGTGTCTTTCATAAATAAATAAATAAAATCTTAAACAGAAAAAAAAAAAAAGAACACTCTTTACTCTTAATACTTCTAACTGGTAATAAATAATAGGAACACTGATTTGGAGATGTCAAATATATTTATCATCAGGAATATTAAACTGGTTGATGAAGCCTACTTTCTGAATTTATTTGCAAGATATCTATATAGCACATTTAAAGTCTCTTCTTGGATTCTTTTTTTTTTTTAATTTTTTTTTTTTTATTTATTTATGACAGTCACAGAATGAGAGAGAGAGGCAGAGACACAGGCAGAGGGAGAAGCAGGCTCCATGCACCGGGAGCCCGACGTGGGATTCGATCCTGGGTCTCCAGGATCGTGCCCTGGGCCAAAGGCAGGTGCTAAACCGCTGCGCCACCCAGGGATCCCCCTCTTCTTGGATTCTAACTTTCATGAGATTTTTCAAAAGTAGGAAAACGCCAATATACACTAATTAAGGTCTTTATTTAAATAAGATCTTTACAAAAATATTACTGTAAATTCTAAGAAATATCACTTTGGCTTATGCCCAAGATATTGGTCTACTTCTCTGGGAGTTAACACAGTGGCAAAATATAAGTCAACATCTCAATGGAGCTTCTGCAAAATTTTGATAGAATAACCAAGGATAAGCATGTCTACTGGGCAGAAAGTGCCATTCTTCTGATACTTTAAAAGGGTAAAAAATGGGATCCTCAAACTATTTCATAAAAGGCCTTTTGGACTTAGTCTTTTCCAAGATTCAGTAAATATTAGCCAAGGAGAAAAAAGCCTGCTGACTGAATAAGTGATTTGCAGAAGAAATGCCCTATAATTATGCCATAACTGAGATTTGCTCACCAAAACTATAAAGAGTGCTGCCAAACATTTTATGTTATTTCTGTAGACCCAGTAAAAACTTTTCATTTTATTTTTTATTTATTTTTTTTGATTTTTATTTATTTATGATAGTCACACACAGAGAGAGAGAGAGAGAGGCAGAGACACAGGCGGAGGGAGAAGCAGGCTCCATGCACCGGGAGCCCGATGTGGGATTCGATCCCGGGTCTCCAGGATCGCGCCATGGGCCAAAGGCAGGCACCAAACCGCTGCACCACCCAGGGATCCCTATTTTATTTTTAAAATATTATTTATTTATTTATTCATGAGAGACACACACAGAGAGAGAGAAGCAGAGACAGAGGCAGAGAGAGAAGCAGGCTCCATGAAGGAAGCCCGACGTGGGACTCGATCCCAGAACTCCAGGGTCTCGCCCTGAGCTGAAGGCAGGCGATCAACCACTGAGCCTCCCAGGCACCCTGAAACTTTTCATTTTATTGATACAAAATACACTCTGGCACAAATTATGCCAATATTGCTTTCCATTTACTTCCTTTAACAACAGCAAAAACATAACTATTACTAAAGGTTGGTTCTAATTTTCTTACAGGTGCTTTTACTGACCAGGAAAAAGTATTTCTAGGGTTATTTTTATTTAATCATAAGACCTAATCGAAACAGATGACCTGCTTAGATTTAAAAAAAACAGATCTCAAAAAAACAACAAAAAAACAAAAACAGATCTCATAAAACTTATTACAATATAGCTTTATTATTATCACAGTTTTCAAAATTAGCATTCATGAAACATTTTTGGGTAAGATGGCACAAATTTTCACGGGCTTCAACTAGCTGTAACCGCCAGGGATTTAATTATGGAGTCACTTTCCAGACCCCCCCCCCCCCAAAAAAAAAAAAAGGCCAGGGCAGACAAATTTGGTACTTTATTGATAATTATAACCAAACGGATCAATAGACTATTCTTGCTCTAAACACACCAGAAGTGGCGACCCCCATACTTCTTCAGCTGCTCTATAGCCCAGCGGAGGCCAAAGTGGGAAGAGCAGGCTCTCCAGTCAGAAATCCAGCTCAGGGCCTAATCAGTTATTGGCCATGTAAATCAACTATACAAATCAAGTAGTGTCTCTGAGTTTTCATCTTGTCAAGTAGGTGAGATACCTACCTTCAAACTGCACAGGGTTAGGGCAAGATCACGGGAAATAACACAGACAAGGGCCTATTGGATCTTCTTGTTGGACAGGGAGCATGTATGTGCTACGGGGAGTATGTATGTGCTATAACTAGAGTGTTGACAAAGCGGTTCTTATTAAAATTTTCAGTCTTATTCCTCAACCTTCCTTTATTAAAAAAATATGAGACTCAACTAAATCTCAAAATGCTGAAATTGAGCTATCCCCAGCCTCAGAATTCTAAGACATGATTAAGTCCCATTTCCTGTTTTAATGCCATCCCATTTGAGTACTCTGAAGCCACTTCTGAAACAAGGTATAGTCAAAGAGACAAGGTCTTGATGATGAGCTGCTTGTTAATAAATACATTCTTCCTGGGAGATATACCTCTTTTTATTCTCAAGCTTAGATATGACCTCAATCTTTTTCCCCAGGCCAAGGCTACTGGTATTATTAAATCTGCACACCTCAGCTCAATGTTTAGTTTAATTCTAAAGTCCCCGACTTTAAGATTTTTAAATTTTCCTTTTAAAACCTATATTATCTTGGATGATGTTCTGATTATATCTGAGAAAACATGAACACTAACGAATCCATAACTTAACAGTATTTTCTAGTCACTACTTAAAAACTCAGAGCAAATATCCACTCAGCTGTGGCAACTGAGATGGTGATAATGCTTTGGTCAGATAATTACTGACACAAAATATTGGATATTTTGAGAAGGTGCCAGAAGGCAAGATCACCCAGATGTCATCAAAACAGCCTCCTTCTTTGCACTCAGGGGTCTTACCTCCAAACACTTCCCAAAGCTTAACTCTCCGATCCATGCCTCCTGTGGCCAGCAGCCGGGAGCCAGGGCTGAACTGCACAGCGTTGACTTCCCCATCATGAGCATCCTGCAAGACAAGTATCCTGCTTCAACCCAATCCCTGTCATTCCAAGCGGAAAGAGCCCAATACAAATGAACACTATGGATGCCTAACCAAAGGTGCTGGACAGTCACCCATAAATAAAGGGGATCTGCTCATAAACTAACTTGGATTCCTAGCCCAGGGTCTCCTAAGATTGTTACCATTTTATTTATATAGTTACAGTTCCATCTATTTTAGTGCAACCTTCTTAGAAAGTAGTCAAAATCTGTGTAGACTGCCTATAGTCTGTCTTTGCATTAATTTTCTTAATAAAAATGAAGTTTCAATCTATCGTCTACTATGATCTTATAGCTTAAAACTAAGCCTCTGATTTACCATCTTTCTTTTGGTTCAGATTATGTTAATGCTACATGCTAAACTACCTAGTGAAAGTACAGCATGGCTTCTAATGATAGAGAAAGGCTTTACAGCTTTCCTAAAGGTGAGAATATCCTCATATGGAATCCTAATAAAAGCAGCTGCCAGTCCTTCTGCTACATATCAGTGTTACAGTGGGATTCTATTCTGTTCTGGAAATAAAAGGGCACCAGTGTATTCTAGGCAGGGAGACTTCTGCCAAGTTTCTTATTAACTTTCTGAAGCCTCAGCTTGCTCATCTACAGGAAAGGTCTTCCACCAAGTTGTGTGGCCTAGGACTGACTCCCTGATCGTGGGGAGTAGGTCTTCGATAAAGTAAGGGTCACTCTGGGAGAATTTAATTCTTCACAGGGAGGAGCGACTTGCTGACTTAGTCAGTTAAGCATCTGCCTTCTGCTCAGGTCCTGATCCCAGGGTCCTGGGATCCAGCCCCATATCAGGCTTTCTGCTCAGTGAGGAGCCTGTTTCTCCCTCTTCCTTTGCCCCTCCCACCCTCTCCAAAATAAATAAATCTTAAAAAAAAAAAAAAAAAAAAAGAAAGAAAAAGAAAAAGAGGGACGCCTGAGTGGCTCAACGGTTGAGTGTCTGCCTTTGGCTCAGGACATGATCCCAGAGTCCCAGGATTGAGTCCCACATTGGGCTCCCTGCATGGAGCCTGCTTCTCCCTCTGCCTATGTCTCTGCCTCTCTCTCTGTATCTCTCATGAATAAATAAATAAAATCTTTAAAGAAAGAAAAAGAAAAAGTTTACAGATGCTGAAATCTTTATGGGTGAACTACAATGTCTGGGATTTGCTCTAAATTGTTCTAGCAAAAGTCTGTGGGGCAGAGAGAATAGAACTGGCACCTGTGGCTAACTGGAACTACCTGACAGGATGATGGGACCTGGAAGTTCTCCCTACTCATAACGATGTTTGAAAATTTCCATAATATGGGATGCCTGGGTGGCTCAGCGTTTGGGCGTCTGCCTTTGGAGTCCCGGGATCGAGTCCCACATTGGCCTCCTCGCAGGGAGCCTGCTTCTCCCTCTGCCTGTGTTTCTGCCTATCTCTGTGTCTCTCATGAATAAATACAATCTTTATTAAAAAAACGAAAAAACTTTCCATAATAAAAAGGAAAAAAAAAAGACTGCGAAATGTGGATTACAAATACCAGATCATTAAACAGGTCATCAACCACTTGCCTAAAACATCATTTTGAGAAGACAAAACCTGTCACATTCGCTTGGGCCTGAAAAAGACACTTGAAATATGCTGGCAAATTGAATTTAAATAAAATATAAATAAATAAAAAGAAATACCATTGAAATCACACTTATTAATGGACAGGGATATAAACATCACTTTATTTTGCTTGGTGGTGTGATCCTGCCGCAGCCCTCAGGTCCCACTGCTGCAAAGCTGTCTGACAAGTGGCCAACCTTTTTGCCCCCGTGTGATTCCCTTCTTTTTCTTTTTTCTCCATGCTATGTTTCTACTTAGGAGGTCTCAGATTGAAAACTTGAGATCATGCACCATCACACCCCTGCTGCCACTCTTTGACCTCCTGCAGAGCTGGTTCTGTTGGATATTTGTCAGCCATGAACCGCACACTCACAGGAACACAGGCTGACACAGGATCCAGGTTATCAGCTGCTCCATTACCCCATGCACAGGACTTAAATGTGCCAGGAGAAAAAATGGGCTGCTGGGAGCTGAGGGCAGAAGGGGGCTGTGACATTAAGTGCAATCAGACCTTTTACCAATCATCACTGACCTCCATAAGGTGCCCAATCCAACTCCTCATCCAGAGGGAGACTCTCTTTATGACATACAAGGTGGCTGGATCACTCAGCCAGTTCACTGTGTGGAAATCTCTATTTGATTCCTCCTTAGGCCTGGTTTCCCCCATAAGGAGTCCTCCTCTCCCCTGAAAGCTGACTATTCTAACTCACCCCATGTAATCCACAAGTCAGCCCAGCTAGCTTGGCTCTGCTCTGCTGCTCCATCTCCCCCAGACACCCACCTGCCAGCCTCAAGTCAGGTAGCCCACATTTCCCCAGGCTGGTTCCATTTCTGCTCACTCACCCCAGCTGAGACCTGCTTATTCTTTTCTACAAGCACCCAGCTCTGAACACCAGCCGACAGCCCTGGCATCACAGTGACTTCTGCCCAGGACTATCTCCTACTTCCAACCTTGCACTTCTAATGACAGGAAGTCACACAGATATGGACAGGAATTACTGTAACTTCTCACCAGCCCTAGTTACTTCTCTCTTGTCCTGCCTCTCATGCTACTGATTCTCTTCCAGTCAGTCTTGTATTACAGAAAATGGTTATAACAGATTCTGTCCCCTCAAGCTGAGCAAAATGTATCAATCCCTTCTATCAGACACAGTCAACAGGTATAAAACTTGCTTTGTTCTAAATAAAATAGCAGAAAGCTAGCTGCCATAGAGAATGGCTCCTTGAACCATCCGGCTCCGCTACCATACAAAGCTTGGTGGGATGTGGGGTTCAACCATACTTACAAAGATACACATCGCTGTTGTTGGCACTCTCACTTCTTTACTAGAACCAGGATGAGTATCCACATTATCCTGGGGAACTGGAAAGGAAGAGACAGAGCGCCTCCTAAGAAGTAACATAAAGGAAAATATTAGGATTGCACAAGGCTTCCTGTCCGCCACATACCCAGAGGGATTCAAAGATGACTTCTGACAGTAGCTTCTTCTCCCTCTTAGACTCTTCAAACCACAGAACAAATCACCCGATCAGAAGCATCCTCAACTCAAACGACACCCAGAGACGTATCCAGCACATACCTGTACTTTCCTGCTTGTTAACCTATAGACTCCAAAACCCAACACTGAAAAAACAATCCCACACAACTGCTTCCCCAGTCAATAAAATGCTGCAAAACGTTCTCAACATAATATAACTACCTGCTCCGAGGGAGCATGTTTGTATTTTGATAAGACTACATCAAGGTGCCTTTTATGCCTAGTTACGATCATCCTCAGCAGTGTGGTCAAGGCGGCGTCGAACGCATGCCAGAAGAGAGAAAGGAGAGCGTGACTGCTGTGCAGAGTTCAACCTAACTGCCCGCTCAAGAGGCTGACAGCACTCCGAAAAACATGCACAGCGGCCTGGGTGGTACATGCACATCCAATGATGGGGTGAAGAGAGGGAGGGTGGTGTGAAGCGATGATCAGCACAATTATCAAGGAGCCACGCTCACATGCCGAGCCAAGAGAAGGTAATATTTTCACCTGGCAGCATCAGAAGAGTGATGTCCCAAAAGGGGAGACTCGGACAGACTTAAAAGGTAAGGCCAGATCAGCACGCAGCAAGATTAAGAGAAAGAAAATGGAGGAAAAAAGGAAGAAGCTAAGTGAGAAAGCTGAAGTCAAAGCATCTGTATACTCGGCGCTACGGGAATTTTGGTGTACGTTTAAAAAAACGGTGATAAATCATATACAATACTTATGAATATTCACACACATATTAACAAGGAAAGGTGAAGGTTTTCTAACCTACCCAAAGATATTAGTGATAGAATCCAGAAGGCCTCCAGCAGGCTGCGAGAGTCGCTTACTAAAGAGGAGGGGAGGATAGGTTTAAACCTTAGAAACATTTTGCCCAAATAATTCATCAATAAATACAGTTCACAAAAATAGGTACCTGGGAGTATGTTTCCCAATGAGTCCCCAAACCCCAGCCGAGAAACCCGAGAGGAGTAAACTACCAGAAAACAGGGGGAAGGCAGGAGGGAGGACCCAGCTTCAAAGACATGAGGTTTCCTCACGTTACTTTAACTGTCCACTCGGTCAACCTGACCTAACAGAGTCTGGTTGTTAATACCCAATCCCCAACCTTTCAGTTCTACTTTAGCAAAGAGGAAAAACATCCTGGAACTCGAGTACAAAATAAGCAGCATGATCTAAATAATCATCCCAACAAGGTATAACTGTCCATCTTGTGGGAAGCCACTACACTTTCTTCCGCCTCACCTCATAGTTGGTGGCAGCACTAAGGGACAGCTTGCCTCCCACTGAGAGGTGACCGGAGGAAGACAGGGACACTCAGGAGCCCACAATCTCCATGGTTGTGCAGGAGGGGCCGGGTGCTCCAGTGAGGGGCCTGGCTGCATCGGGCTGCTCTAGCCATGGCCACCAATGTGCTAGCAGACCATGGCTTGAGCTCTCCTTTCCTGGCCCACCCCATCCACTTACGTGGCTGCTCTGCTGATGGCTCGCACAGGAGACGTCTCCTCAGCGTGATCAGAGGTTTCGTCCACAATGACTTCAATGTCATCATCCCTGTAAAGAAGGGCAAGAGGCCGAGTCTTTGATTCTGCTAACCAGTAGCTGTGTGGTGAGTCTGTTCCACAAATGTCAGCACCATCTCCTAATCACAAAGAGCCTCTGCGACTTGGCTGTGACAGAGATGGTCAAGGGTTCTCTGGAGACACAGGCTGTGCTCCGAACAATACTAAAAGAAACGTTTAACCTGTTGACATCAAATCCAGAATGCCAGCTGAAAATAACTTTATTTTTTTTAAAAGATTTTATTTATTTATTCATAGAGACACAGAGAGAGAGAGAGGCAGAGATTCAGGCAGAGGGAGAAGCAGGCTCCACACAGAGAGCCTGACATGGGACCTGATCCAGGGTCTCCAGGATCACACCCTGGGCTGCAGGCGGCACTAAACCGCTGCACCACCAGGGCTGCCCTGAAAATAACTTTAAAAGCGATCTTTTGATCCTCTGAAGTGTGAACACAGCTCTCACTTGGAAAGCAAGGAAATAATGATTTGTTAAGTCTATTACTACGTATCCAGCGCCAAGGGAGATTTCTTTCCTTCAGAGGTCTGGTTCATAGCTGAAAGGCTCCTGCACACAAACAAGCGGACTACAGAAACGGTTCCCACGAGAAAGGCTGAGCAGCAGAAGACCGCTGGACAGCTATGCAGTCAAGAAAACAACAGGGCAGGGAAGGGATCCAGGTGAGGAGGAGAAGGGATTGCTGGAAGAGCAATGAATTGCATTAACATTGGCTTTAAACACCATTTTAACAATAAAAACAGGAAAGCAAAATCTAAATGCTATTCATTTCTGACTCTGGGTTTTTTGTTTAGGTTTAAACACTTGGTGCTTCTGACATTTGGGGAATCCATCATGCTTCATGTGAAATAATCAGGCCACAGAAATGCCCTGTTGTTTACCCGCCTTACCCTGCCCCAGATACACAAAGTACCTCTGGAATTCTCCTCTCTGCCTTTTCCTGGTTGAGGGGAAGGCAAGGAATTATTTTGGCCTTAATGACCTCCTACCAAGTTGCAATCTTCACAGATAAGTAAAATAATAAAACATAACCAACCCAAGACTTTATCACCTAATGTTTGGACTCCTTAGAACTTGAAAGTAATATTTTTCCGTGATTATCTGGATTATGTAAATATATACTTAACTTATCAAGCAAGTTAAACCAAGTCCAAGTAAATCTGTTTTCCCTGGCTACTGATTTTAGGATTCCATGCAACTGAGCCCAGTCTAAGTCAGGATGCAGGGAAGAACAAAGGCAGGCTTGAAGAAAGAGAACAAGACTGGCCTTTCTTTTCTTCGTGTTTTGGTTTGAGGGAGCACTTATGTTCGCACAAGGGCGACAACAGAGCAGCAGAGATAGCAAGAGTAGCCAACACGAGTTCAGCCTATGTAAATATTTTCAGAACGCTACAGGCATGAAGACACTCAGAACTGTGCAAAAGCCCAGGGTCACAGGAAAATACCAGAATGTGGCAACTGGTTATCACAGCCCTTCAAAGATAGAAGTGTCCTTTGCCCCGAGAAACTCCACTCTTGTGGAAGCACAGAGATTCAGAACAGGCCTTTACAGCCAGACACTCCTAGGTTAGGTTCATTCGGCCCCTTTCTATGAGATCTTGGGCAGCACCCAGTCACCTGTTTATGCTGCGATTGGGAGGCAGACAAATGAAGCTTTTGTAAACTATCATTTCCAGGTCAATCATTTATTTACTTTGTAGTGTCAGGAAAATACATCTGGGATTTATATTTCACATCTTGGAGTATAGAAGAAATGTACATATTCTAAATCAAAGCATAGCCTTAGTATGAAAACCTTTCTTTTCTTATAAATTAAAACTTTGTCTGGTGGATGACTCCTAACTGAACTAAAACCAGCCACCTCCGTTTATAAGGAAGGAAACATTTTAAAACCCAGTAACTCACAATTCTAATACTATATTCTGTAATATTTTTCAGTGGAAAAGGAACACGTCGTGAACTAGAAGCAAAGGGAATTCAGCCATTAAAACATCCACCACTCTTAACACAAAACTTCAGATCTTGGGGAAGGCCCTCCACCCCAGTTCCAGATCATGGAACGTTCCTAACAGATTCAATCCCTTTTGCTCCAAGAGACCGTCATTTTCACTTAGGCTTCAAAGGTTTGCCCATACCTCCAATCAAAGTTACACATAAGAACTGAGAGCAAGAGAAAGAATCCCAGCCCAGTGATACACTGCAGGAGGCCCAACAAGGGGTAGAAAGCAGATCAAAGTGTCAAGAGGAAAGCAGCAAGAAAGCCATTCACTCAGGGTGCAGAACTCACACTCACAGCCGATGAGGAGCATAAATGGGAGCAAACTTCTGGGAGGGAACCAGTGTGTTTAGTGGCTCCCTTAAATCTTTTAGCTTCCTTTCTACAATCTATAAAATGGTTTTACAGAAATAAAAATGTTATAAAGCCATTTTAAAAGAGCAAATCAAATTACTAAGAGCAGTTCTGATAGGAATAGCTCTACTTACTGTTCAACGGGTAGAGGTTCCTTTGCTGCTTCTGCAAGCTCTTTCTGCAGCCGGGCTTGCCGTCTCCTATTGAGAAAAGCCCACTAGTTACGTCTGCTTAAAGAAAGCATGGCGTTTCGGCCCTCAGTAAGCTACGAGTTCTCTAACACATCTGAATATTCAGTGCATTTAAAATAACTGCCCTGGGCAAAGATACCAAAGTCCCAAACCCACACCAGTAACATCAGTAAGGAACCCTGTTATAAAGGATATCAGAGCAAAGCCCAGAAGAGGGATTATGTCATTAGAGAAAGCAGTGAACTAGCAAGGGAGAAGCCTGCTCGTTGTGTGACCCTGGGCCTCTCAGGACAGAAAGGCACGTCAGGTTTATCCAGGGTTACTCACGGTCAAGAGTTGGCCTTCTGCAGCAAATAGTCTAATACCAACATATCAAGAGCACAAATAGTAACAGTTAAGATTTACCTGGAATTTAGTTGTGCCTAACTTGGTATTATTTCTAGGTTTTAGCTCATTTAATCCTTGTAATGATGCTGTAAGTACCATTTTACAAATAAGGAAACTGAAGTCTGACATTCTTGAACTGTCAAAATGCACATGGCTTCACCTACCAGGGCTGGACATGTCTCTTGGCTGTGGATAAAAATTTTTTTTAAGATTTATGTATTTATTTTAAAGAGAGAGAGTGGGGGAAAGAGCAAATGGAGAGGGAGTGAAAGACTCCTCAAGCAGACTCCCTACTGAGCGCAGAGCCTCACATGGGGCTCCATACCAGGATCCAGAGATCATGACCTGAGGCAAAATCAAGAGTCGATGGCTCTTGGACAAATTTTAATGTGGCCAAACAGTCAAGTCCACTATTTCCCCTTCTCAGAACAAATTTTGTCTCTCTTCAAGTTCTAAATTCTGGATCTCCCTAATTTCTAACCTTGGCCTCATTTTCTTTTCCATGGCAATTTCATCTCTGTGGTTTCATCCTATATGTGGAGAACCCCCAATCTGGAATTCTGCTATTAAGCTCCAGTCAAGAATTCTGCTGGAATTTTTGGTAAAGCTTCTACCACGGTGTTAATTTTCAAAACAGGGAGAGTCCTCTAGGTGGCATATCTGAGTCATGGGAAGGGATGAAGTTGTAGCTTATACTTTTAGCTTTATTATTATTTTTTAAGATTTTAATTATTTATTAGAGAGAGAAAGAGAAGGAGCACACAAGTGGGAGGAGGGGCAGAGGGAGAGGGGGAATCTCAAGCAGACTCCCTGCTGAGCACGAAACCTGATGCAGGGCTCCATCTCACGACCCTGAGATCATGACCTGAGCTGAAATCAAGAGTTGGACGCTTAACCGACTGAGCCACCCAGGCTCCCCTATACTGTTAATTTTCTATCTGGAAGATGAAAACTAAGTTCTACAGGACAAATGACAAAATTTAATGATTTTTTTTAGCTGGAATAAATGACCTATGAACTAACTACCTGTGAGGGAAAACCAGAACGTGCGGCTTGTTACACCCCTCTACTGGAAAGGCACCTGCTGCAAACAAGGGATGAAGGACAGACCTGCAACAAACACCTGCAGCCCCTCCTTCATCACAATAGCTGAAAAGAAACCTCAAATATTCCCTGAGTGTGTCTACACAGCAGCCACTGTGACCATGAGAATAGATCAGAGCCTAGTGAGGGAGGCAGACCACAAACAGCTACTTCAAAACATGACACGTATCATGCTATCATTCAGGTAAACAAAGACTGCTAGACCACCTAACCTAGGGATTGGCACAAGGAGGGAACGCTTCTAAAGGACTGAGTAAAGAAACCTGGGGCCCCACCTACGCAACCAGATAATACACCCAAGGTAAATACCTAGGAAAACATTCCAAAGTAAGGAATGAGAGCAGACATGGAATATGCCTCCCATGCCATTTTCATTAGGAAGTGTGCATCATTCTCCTGTCTACTGTGAGGACCAAGGACCCTTCCTTAGCTTAACCACATGCCTGCAGCTTCTCCCTTGGCAGGTGTTTAACACGCTGCACTATGACTTCCAGGTGACCCTGCTGAGTTCACTTCAGGGCAAAGGCCAAGTTGTTTTACTTAAACATGAGGGGCGCCTGGCTGGCTCAGTCGGCAGACTATGTGACTCTCGATCTTGGGGTTGTGAGTCTGAGCCCGATATTGGGTGTAGAGATTGCTTAAAAATAAAATCTTGAAAAAAAAATAAAAGAAACAAGACAGAGTAAGAAAGGACAGCTCATTCTTTTAATATAAAAGAAACTTAAGAAAGTTAGAAAAAACAGGGAAGTATGAGAAAACAAAAGCCAGTCTCACCACGCACTATTAACTATTAAATATTACTGACAATTCCTTTTAATCTTTTGAATTCATTCAAATTTTGAATTGTGTCCTATGAAAAGACTTCCTATCCTATTTTCAGTTACATTAATTTTATGCATTTTCTCGCGTCACTAAGTATTCCTAAACTGTGTACTTTCAGAGGATTTTGTGAAACTGCACCATATGAAAATACCATAACTTATTTCTCCCATGAGGAATATACTGCTGCTTATTTTATACTACAGTGAGTAAGGACCAAGTCTTAGTATTTGATTAGGATGAAGTCCAACAAGTGGGAACATGTTTCAGGTCCTGTCCAGGGGCCCTGCAGGAGGTGGTGGGACAGGCTTCCCACAAACAACATGATGGTGCTTTCCCCCTGGCCCAGATGTACTGACCACATGCACTCTTGCTCACACGAGCCACCTGTGCTTCACACCTGCCTGTCTGAGGGCTCATCTGCTTTTATCAACTCCACCTTAGGATATTTGAGGACAATCGTACGTGCTCGTTGATTGTGTGTTAAGAAATCTGAAAACTGTATACAGTCCTCTTTTTATTTCTATTGGTTTTAGGGTTTAGAAAGTCCTCACACTATTTAGAAATTTTTCATAAAATAAAAAGCAGATAATCACGTTTTTTACTTCTACTTTATGTTTTCAGTTTTTATACAGATTCTGAATGAAGTCTACTTGAATATATCATTTGGTAGGATTAGCACTCATTGTTACTTAAGACTCTTTCCTACTTTCATTCTTTTAGATTAACTGCAATACTCTTTTCAAATTCTAAACTACAGACACAGGGCTTTAAAATCCTACTCTGCTGACCACTTACTATTAGTTCTCTCAGTAGATTTTCTTAGGCTTTCTAGGTGGATGACCATGAATCCCTGCCCCTTCTAGTGGCCTTGCATTGTGTCCTCTTTGGTTGGATGGCCAAAATATCGGTCTGAGTTCGAGACAGTGAGCCCCTCCTTTTCCCATTCGTGGTTTTGATATGTGTGTTAGACTCTTTGTGGGAGTGTTCAAAACACATGTTTCCCTCCACCAGGACTGACTCCAGGTGTGTGAGGTGGAAGGTCTCTGTGTTAAGCACACTATCAGCTGTTGGTTGCAGACAGATATTTTTATTAAAAGCTTTTGTTCCAAGTTTAAGGGTTTTTATCAGGATTGGGAACTGAGTCTGAGCAAATGGCATTTTTGTGGTATACTCAAGTGTTTCTACAGTCTATCATCCAAGGTGATAGATTTAATTGATTTCCAGATACACCATCTTTTAATTCCTGGGATTAATCCTAGTAGGTCTGCAGTGAATTAAAAAAAAAAAAAGGCTCCAGAATGCCTGAGAGGCTCAGTTGGTTAAGCACCCAACTTTTGATTTCGGCTCAGGTCATGATCTCAAGAGTTGTGAGATGGAGCCTCACTGGGTGCACAACCTGAGATTTTTCTCTCTCCTCACCTGCTCCTGCCATTTGTCCCTAATACATGCGTATGCTATCTCTAAAAAAAAAAAAAAAAAAAAAAAGGACCAATCTTTTTCTAATTCTAATTTATCTTATATTGCTCAAGAAATAGCTTTTCTCCTTGAAATACTAAAAGAATTCACTGGCAAAAATTGTACGGGCCAAAGCCCTTTTGGAAGGTAATCCTCCACTCTCAGCTATAAGTGTTCTTATAAACGCAAATCTCTTCTACATGCACCACTGTGATTTTTTATTTTATTAGCGTGTTCTGGCTGGCTCATCCCATCCCCCCTCATCAGAGCTGCCAGCTTATTTTTACCTTTGCAGAGAACCAGGCTCTACTTTACCAAAAATGGAAACCACTAACTGTGGACTGATGTCTCACCTTGAATCCTTTTCATTCTCTGCATTTAAGCGATTGGCTTCCTGGGCTTTCTCAGCCATCCACCGGGTGACCAGCTCCTGATTCTCTTCAGTAGTTTTCCTCAGTTTCTCCTCCAAAGCAGTAAACGTGATCTGCAGGGCATCATATTCGTCCTTCAGGGTCTGGTTGGCCCTTTCAAGGTCTTGAAGCTTACTGCGTAGTTCTTGGCACTCCGTCTCCAGGTCAGAGATCGTCTGCAAGCATTCTGCAATTCTGAAAGCAGGATGTGGAGAACAGGAATGGGGCTGCTCCAGAGTCCCGTGAGGGAGCTGGAGTACCTGGCCAGATGAAGCTCTGTGAGTGTGGGCCCCCAACAATAACCTCAGCCATGACACCAGATGCCATGTAGGACTCTTTACATTTACAAAGATCTCACTTAGCCAAGACCAGCTCTGGTGGTTTATAGGACAAGCCCATCAGAAGAGGAACTACTGGGGATCCCTGGGTGGCTCAGCAGTTTAACGCCTGCCTTTGGCCCGGGGCATGATCCTGGAGTCCCGGGATCAAGTCCCACATTGGACTCCCGGCATGGAGCCTGCTTCTCCCTCTGCCTGTGTCTCTGCACCAGCCCCCCATCATGAATAAGTAAATGAAATCTTTAAAAAAAAAAAAAAAAAGAGGAACTACTTAGGGTGAAATTCACCTAGGTGATCAATGACTAGAAAAGTAGGATTTGAAGAGGGAACTTTTGATGCCTAAAGAGTAGTAAGAGGGGCTTAAAAGGAGGCTAGAAATTCTGCACATTCCATCGGTTCTATCACTCCATGAGCAACGATGCCTTTCTAAGCCTCTAGAGATCCCTGTCTACAAAGTGAGGGAAAAAGGCATAGATGAAACCCAGGCTCCCCTCCAGCTCAAAGGTCCTAGGATTTGGAATTCCAGGCTTCTCCCCCGATCAAGAATTATCCTGCCCACAAACTCATCCCTGTTCCCAAGGGCCACACTCACATGCCCTGGCCCCATCATCATAGAAGATGCCAGCTCTCCTATGCAGTGGCCACAGGGAGAGCCATGAATGCTTTGCGGATCCTCACAGGGGTCAAGGGTATTTCCCAGGGGTATTTCCCGGGAACCTGGAAGACTGAGGGCCCCCTCCTTGCCTTTGCCATCCTTAGAACAAGCAAAAAAAAAAAAATAATCCTAGGCTGCATGTGCACAGAAATGGCACTCTTGAGGAGTCCCGTGTGGTGACCATTTGCCGGCAATCACCACTGGCCCCGCCCACAAGAGTAGAGTTAACAAAAAGTGCAACCCCATGACCAGCCCCCGGGGAGGTATCGCAGGTATCGTCTCTACTCACTTTGCTTCATTCATCTGCATCTCCCTGTCTTTCTGCTGCATTTGGTTATTCAGGTCAATCACCAATTGAGCTAACTGAGGGAAGGAAAGAGTACTTCTGTCAGAGACATTTCAGGACCTCAGCTGGAAACTAAACAACAGGGGGCTCTTTTATTTTTAAGGGGAAAAAGGGTGCCCTATAGGATAGGGCCAAGACACCAGGGAGAAACGAGCTCAGTGTCAGCAAGGAGGACTGATGGGGAGGCTCATGGGAATGTGTGCTCTTCCCTGCTCAGGCAAGGAGGAGAAGTGCTACAGGTCACTGCCAGGTTCCTGCTGAGGACCCGTCCAAACCCTTACCCTAGCCACCTTTCACATTCTCTAGCTGATAAAGTGACCAATTCAGCAGCACTGATGATAAACTGCATTTTTTTCATAATTTGCCATCAAATCGCCACCCAGGATGATCACAACCCAGAACTTTTTCATTCTTCCTAATGAATTTTTCAGAAATTGCAGGGTTCACTTTCAAATGCTTTAGGAAGGTATCAGTGACACCAGCCATGGAACAAGCAGCAGGCTCCTTTCCTTCGAAGCTTCTTCACTTGCACCTTTCATGCCACCTGGGAGGGTGACAACCAACAGATACCTTAGCAGCTTGCCCTCCTGCTGATGGGAAAGCCCTCAGCTCTCCCAATGGTGCATTCCCAGGGAGAAGGCAGTGCCACATGTAGCCAGGGTGGCTGCACATTCTAATAGAAGCACCTGCCCGCCTGTGTCCCTCCTACCCACCCCCTACCCCATGGGACCTGTGCAGAGGAAAGGGCAGGTAGCAGAAGGCAGGTCGGGGCGGGGGAGTGGCGGTGGTGGTAGCTCTCAGTACCTCCCCACGCTTCTTGTGTAGTTCAGTCAGTTCTTCCTGGTGTCTGATCCTCAGCTGGGCCATTTCCTGTAGCTGACCGTCGTTCCATGCGCCATCGTGTCCGGGACTAAGTCCCCAGACCAGGCAGAGGAAGAGAATGTGCAAAAAAGAAAGGAAAGGGGGAAAAAAATCAGACCCCAAACCTCTTCAGTTGGGCAGGGAAACAGTAACTTCAGATTTGGAACCTGTATGTGACAACACAGCCAACAGAGAAGTTTCTCCAGGCTGATGCGTTCTATGCCACTACAAACCTTAAGTAGAAAGCAGGAAATGTGAGAAACATGGTAGAACAGACCAACCACAACGCAAAGCGCAGGTTATATAAGGAACAAAGCATGGGATCTAGATGAAGTTTAGGTAAACGTGGAGGAGACAAGGTCCAGTCATTCAACAAATGTTTGACAGCCAACTATGAGCGAGGCGCTGACCTTGGACCTGGGGAGAAGACAGTGAACACAAAGCTTTGCTCTCATGTGGCTGATAAACAGTTAACAGCAGACATATGATGACTACAGTGAACACAAAGCTTTGCTCTCACGTAGCTGATAAACAGTTAACAGCAGACAGATGATGACTAAGTAAATAGATGAGGTCCAGTGGACAGACGTGCCATTAGGAGAAACTAAGCAGGGTGAGGAAGGGGACGGAGCAACAGGGGTCCTGGTCTGTGCAGAGCATTCAAACAAGGCTTCTCTGAGAAGGACATCACTGCAGGAAGCCACGTGGTGCTGGGAGCTGGGCCCTCGTGCACAGAGGGAACATCAAGTGTCAGAAAGTCCTGGAGAGGGCAGCATAGCTGATACCCTCGGGAGAAAGTATGCGTGGAGCTCCACGTGCAGGAGGGTAGAGAAGACGGTCAGGGATGAGGTGGGGAGACTATGCAGAGCCTCCCAGGCTCCTCTAGGACCGTGGCTTTTACAAGGCGTGACTAGAAGCCATCATAGTGTTGTGAGCAGGGGAAGAAGTTAAGTTTTAAAAGGATTGCTATGGTTGCTGGGTGGAGAGCAGGCTGCATTGGGGTGGGGTGGGGGGTGCAGGGGGTTGAGACAGGGAGCCCAGTTAGTGGGTTGTTACACAGTCCAGCTTAGATGAAGGTGCTAGCAGTAGAGGCAGTGAGATGTGGTCAGATCCATCCTGAAGAGAGAGCCCACAGGATTTGTCTTTGAGTTGCTGTGGTATCTGAGACAAAGATAAGAACGTGGACTCCAAAGCTTTGGGCCTGAACAACTGATAAAATGCAGGTGCCATCTAGAGATGGGAAGGACTAGGGGGAGGAGCAGGTTTGGGAAGAGGCCTGAAGAGTGCAGTGTGGACACCAGAGGGGGTGTGTGGAGAGGAAACCAGGTGTCAATCTACACGTCAAGTATGGAGTCTAAGCCAGAGGCAGACAAGCAGAAGCTGTCAGCAAATGGATGTATGTGAAGCCACCAGAGTGAGTTCAGACACCCTCAAGATTCAATATAGTTTGGGAGATTTCCGAGGGGTTTGCATCCTAGGTCAGAAACAGCAGGTGACTGAACTGTGGGTTTTCAGTTCAGGACTGAATGAGAACCATCAGATGAAAGACATTTAAACCACTACCCAGGGGAAGCACAAGGCAGAGATGAGGAAGATGCTGGAAAAGTAGGACACCAGCACCCATAGGGAGGGGGAAGAACAGCCTCTTCCACGTGCCCTATAAAAAACAAGAGGGGAAAGGGAGCAGTGTGACACTCCCTCCTTACTTCACCCTTGAGATCTCAAGGTATTTTTATGATATGTTCTAAGCACATCCTAATACCTCATCCTTTGAGGCAACCTAATACTTACCCAATCTTCACGCATGAAACAGAAGCCAAGAGATTAGAAAATGGAACACACTGTACAAGAAGCCATCTTAAATTAGGCAGAAGAACTAGAAATTACTTTTATGAAATCCTCTTATATTAATGCAAAGCACAGTGAAATATGCAAATGTAAAACTAGTCCCTTCCTCTAAAGAGCCATCATCAGGTCACTCACTGTGTGCCTGGTGGTGGAGATAGATGACAAAAACTCCTGAGCAGCCATGGTCTAAAGCAGTGGTTTGCAGGATCACCTAAGTACAGGTTATGGGCCTTACCCCCCAGTTTCTGAAACAGTAGGTCTGGTGTGGGCCCAAGATTCTGCATTTCTAACAACTTGCCAGATGCTGCCACCTAGGAACCACACATAGAAAATGACTGAAGTCAACTATTTCTGTGCTGAAAGCAAAGGGATTAAAACACTTCTGAAGGGACTCAGATAATTGATCCAGATAAAGCTTTTTAAGCACGGGCTGTAGTGTTTTAAGAATAACTGGGATGAGATGGGCAGAACTTAAGGGAACAGAAGGGAGAAGGAAACAACCAGGCCCGTCTTCTGTAAACACTCTTATGGCACCACCAAACACTGCCCTGAGCTGGTCTCCCTCAATGGACTAAGGGACAGATGCAAAAGAGACTGTGAGTGAAGAATGAATGTGCCTGAGTGACTACCAATGAGGAAGGGCAGGACACTGTGGGAAAAAGAAATCATAGATGACTTGTGGAAAATAAGGACACCATTAATAGAAACAAGGCGGTCAGGAGAGGCCTGATTAGAGACTCAAGCTTTTAGGAAAGGAAGGATCTCTAATTAAATTATCATTCCAGTGATATTTAGTGAAAAGAACTGTAAATTTGCTTATAGCACCTTACCAAGCAAATGAGCTTGGCTGACCAACAAAGGACAGAGAAATATAGTCACGAAGAGTCTAACTAGATAGAAACAAAATGTTTCAAGTTTTCAGCTGATTGAACTTAGATAAAAAAGGTAAAATGGCTTTTTCTATACCTAAAATTCACCAGAACACTGCAACTGATATTTTAAATACTATAGTAGGCCTCCCAGGGCCACAACCAGGAAGGATCTCTTGAGTTTATTATTAGGCAAGAAAAGAACCTGGGCTGAGCCATCTGTTCCTCTTTCCTACTCCGGTCTGCCATGAGAGCATCTCTCCAGATGAGGAAACACAGATGACAGGCACTTATATAGCAGATTTAGCTATGGGGATAAATAAATTCGGCTACCTCAAACTTCCGAGTTTAAAAAAAAAAACCCTGAAATTACTACCAACCTGTTTTTACAGTTGCTAAATGTTGTATGAATATGCAAAAAAGTATGTAGATTCTAGAGCAGTAATGGGTCCTGTTCCCATATGGACCCTCAAATTTAATGTACAAACATGATAAACATCTGGAAAAGACAGTAAGATTATAGAATGATTCCATTTATTTATTTATTTGTGTTTATTTATTTATTTATTTATTTTTTATTTATTTATGATAGTCAGACACACACAGAGAGAGAGGCAGAGACACAAGCAGAGGGAGAAGCAGGCTCCATGCACCGGAAGCCCGACGTGGGATTCGATCCCGGGTCTCCAGGATTGCGCCCGGGGCCAAAGGCAGGCGCCAAACCGCTGCGCCACCCAGGGATCCCGAATGATTCCATTTAAACTGCTTTTGATGAAATCTAGCTTTTGGATTTTTCTGGACCATGACCCTCAAAAAATAGTTTACACGAATAACCCATGTAAACACATCAAACTCCCCACCATGAACATCTATGTCATATTTAGTGAAACAATATTCTTTCTATTAAAATGTGGATTTGGGCAGCCTGGGTGGCTCAAGTGTTTAGCACCGCCTTCAGCCCAGGGCATGATCCTGGAGACCCGGGATCAAGTCCGTCGGGCTCCCTGCGTGGAGCCTGCTTCTCCCTTTGCCTATGTCTCTCATGAATAAATAAAATCTTTTAAAAAATAAAATAAAATGCAAGTTTTTCCTCATCTTCCTTAAAAAAAAAAAAAAAAGCTTGCTACAACCTGCTAGCTTAATTTCATATTCTATTAAAATATGTTGAAAACCACTAAACTAAAATAAAAAGGCTCAAACAGACCTGGGTTGTATAAAAAGTACTTTATGTTTATGCACCAGTCAATCCTTTATTAACAAGATCTACGTAATCTTCTCAAGAATGCTCACTGTGTGATTATTTAGAAAAAAATGAACCCAGTAGGCTGAAGGAGGAATTGGCCCAGTTACCCTCCGTGAGTCACTGATAAGACTGCTGGGTGCGTACATACCCTCAAAGAAAGAATTTTGGTGACTTGGCCTCACAAGTTCTTATTTGAGAGGAACTGACAAAAACTGGAGCACAGAAAACAGTACTTGGCTTGCCTCTCAATTAAAGAAGTGACAGGTGATCTGAGACCCGTTTCAACTGAAGAGACACAAGCAACACAGGACAGTTTCAAAATACCTTATCTCATGCCTGTTGGGGATGTCATGCTTTTCAGCTTGGAGCTTATGGGCCAGCACTGAATGAAGATCTGATTTTTCTAGCAACTTGTTATCTATTAAAAAGGAAAAGAAGAAGAAATAGATTATTTAATAGGTTATTTATTATAACCAACGTACACCTTATTACTACTTAATATCCTATAAATATTTGGACCAAAAAAATAACCGAAGACAACCAAGTCAGTTTCACTTTCATTAGGTGTCAAAGTACTAGGTGCTGCACAATAGCAATTGTAGCAACCGTATAAAACCCAGAAACATACGCTCCTTCAATGTTTCTTGGCCTAAGCTCGAGTGGCCCGGCCGAAGGAACCTGTGGAAACGCTCCTGCAAGAGTGTCTCCTGCTTACCTATATTTATCTCAGGAGGAAGAAAACAAAACAGAAAACCAAATACAGTGGAAAAACGAAATGTCATGCACCTCGAAGTAATATGGGAGTCTTACCTTTTTACATTTGGAAAATTTCATTTTTAGATCAGGCTACTAGAGGTACAAATAGGAGAGTCCCTGACCTCGAGAAGCTCAAATATAGCAGAGGGTCAGGTATAACAAGGATTAGAAGAGTGAGCTTTACTCATTTGCATGGATGGTTGTACAGGTGAAGATGACAGAATTCAGGCAGGACGGCTTGCAGAGTGATCTGGTTAAGTGGCTAGAAATGAAAGTTGGAGCCAACACATGAAAGCAGAATGAAAAATTCAGGCCTTTTCTTACTGGCAGTGGCGAAAAAATAGATTTTAAAAGCATGCAGTGATATGAACAGATGTTTACCAGTAAGTAAGAAGTCAAAGATTAATCTGAAGTTCCTGCCCAAGCAACGGGCTAGAAGATGCTAATGTGTCAGAGAACACAAGAGTAGAGAACCAAAGGAAGAAAATGAATTTTCTTTCTGAAAGTAACAAATGTGACAGGAAAGGTGGCACAGGACTTCAAAGGACGAGAAGCTAGGAGTGACAGTCACACAGGGACTGGCAAGGTGGGAGGGGCACTAAACAGCACAAAAGATTGATCACGGGAAACCTGTAGAACAGATACATTTGATGGGGGTTGTCACAAAGCCTTCAAGTCTGAGATTAGAACTGCTCTAGAACAAAATTTTGATAGGGTTTATGCTAGTGAATATTCCTGTTGAAAGGGCTTATCATTCTTCACTCAAGGGTCTTGAGTTCCACTTCTCCTTTATATACAGAAATGAAACTCGTGGACAGAAACAGAAATACTCTTTAGGTTAATTTAATCAATCAGGATAGGGAAAGTGGTTCCAACCCTGATGTCTATTCACGTCAAAGGACTCTAAAAAGACCTTCAGTACGTCACACCAGACTTGGATGCCCTGTGACATTGGGTCTTTCAAAGGACAGGAGGTATTCAAGAGAGATCCTGCCTATAGGTTCCTTTCACTAAAGAGAAGGATCTGGCTGAAGGGACATGTCACTCATCCTTAGAGTCTCTTTTCATCTTTCTGTTTAGGCTCAGATATGGGCTGCACTTGACTGGCCTGGGAAGTGCAGGTGTTCTACAGGCTTACTGGAAGTGACCACCCAGGTGTCAATCGCTGAAAAAAAACTTAAAAACAGGCAAAGGCTGTCTTGCTCTCCAGCCCGGACCACCTCTCAGGTCAGTCTGGAGTCCTAGCCCCTGGGGCACATACTACTCACTACAGCTATTTAATGAGATTTTTCCTTCTCCAGGATGATCTTCTGACATTTCTCCTACATCCCCCACCCGCCTGCTGCCCCATCAAAATGACCATTTTCTTTTCTTTTTTTTTTTAAGGTTTTTTTTATTTACTCATGAGACACACACACACACAGAGAGAGAGAGAGAGAGAGAGAGAGAGAGAGAGAGACAGGCAGAGGGAGAAGCAGGCTCCATGCAGGGAGCCCGATTCAGGACTCGATCCCGGGTCTCCAGGAGACCGAAGGTGGCGCCAAACCGTTGAGCTACCCGAGCTGCCCAAAATGACCATTTTCAATGCAGAAAAACCATTCAATCTCCATCAATGCAATTACAGCAACTTCTGTTTATACACTATTACACAGACGGCTTTCTTTCTTTCTTTCTTTTTTTACACAGGCGGCTTTCAAAGCACTTATGCACAGTTTTTATGAAGCAGGTAGGGCAAGCTTCGCCTCCATTTTATAGATGCGGTGAACCAGACTCAGAAAGCTAAGTGACAAGACCAGTAAGGTGTGGAGTCAGACTTCCAGCCCAATGGGACTTTGTGTTGTAGCTTTTAAGATGAAGCATTCAATAAACATCTGACCATTTACGTAACCCATATGGGAATCACGTTTCAGTGGAAGAAACCTTCTGTGCTGCTGGATGCTAGGATCTCTGCGAGTACAAGGAATTAGCACGAGAGCGGCTCATCATCCCCCTTTTCTTCCCATCTTTGTTAAGAGGGTGGGTTCAGTGAAAGCAAGGAAAGGTCATTTCTTGGGAACCCCAGTGAGAACAAAACGCAGAAGTTCTAGGAGTCATCGAATTGGTGTTCAAATCCAGGCTCCCATCCCAATCTTCTGTGCCTCCCCAAACGGAGTTTCTTAATCTCTCTTCAGCATTAGTTTCCTCATATGTAAAAAAAGGGCAGCAACAGGACCTGCTTCACAGAATTTTTGGGAAGATGAAGTGAAATAACACACGCCACATATTTACCCAAGCACTCAAACTAGTCTGCACGTTAGAAATACTCGGGGAGAGGCACCAATACCTGGGATTGGAAAAAAAAAAAAAATACCTGGGATTGGGTCCCGCGTCAGGCTGCCTGCATGGAGCCTGCTTCTCCCTCTGCCTGTATCTCTGCCTCTCTCTCTCTGCATGTGTGTCATAAATAAATAAAATCTTAAAAAAAGAAAAGAAAAACACTCAGGGAGGGGCACCTGGGTGGCTCAGGTGGCTCCATGGCTGAGTGCCTTCCTTTGGCTCAGGTCGTGACCCCCAGGGTCCTGGGATCCAGTCCCGCATCGGGGTCCTCACAGGGAGCCTGCTTCTCCCTCTGCCTGTGTCTCTGTCTCTCTCATGAATAAATAAAGCCTTAAAAAAAAAAAAAAAACTACTAGCGGAGCCTCAAAAAAAACCCCTCATGTCTGTGTCCTACCCTTAGATAGTGCAACTTAGCTGGTCTGGGTTTTGTAATTTTTTTTTTTTTTTGGTAATTTTTTAAAAGATCTGGGGATCCCTGGGGTGGCTCGGTGGCTGAGCCTCTCCCTTGGGCTCAGGGCGTGATCCTAGAGACCTGGGATCAGTCCCGCATCAGGCTCCCTGCATGGAGCCTGCTTCTTCTCCCTCTGCCTGTGTGTCATAAATAAATCTTAGAGAAAAAAAAAAGAAAAGAAAGAAAAGAAAAGAAAAAGAAATACTCCGGGAGGGGCACCTGGGTGGCTCAGGGGGTTCCGTGGCTGAGCGTCTCCCTTGGGCTCAGGGCGTGATCCTGGGGTCCCGGGATCAAATCCCACATCGGGCTCTCTGTAGGGAGCCTGCTTCTCCCTCCGCCTGTGTCTCTCCCTCTGTGTGTGCCTCTCATGAATAAACAAATAAAATCTTTAAAAAAAATGTTTTTTTTTTTAAAGATCCAAGTGATGCTAATGTGCACATCAGCTTGGGAACCACCCATTCAGCACAAACGGAATTCAGTAACGGGCGACTCCTCTCCTTTGAACCTCATGGCCAACAGAGCTCCAGGCTTACTCCAACGGGGTAGATGGGCCGCGTGTCCCCCGCCCCCTCCCCAAGTGTGTCATTCATTAGTTAGTTACGACGAGTCGGGGAGGGGACCCGGAAATGCTCATTAGGGCTAGTCTGGACGTCGTCCCGGCCAAAACGGGCAGCTCAAAACGGGCAGCTGCCCAAGAGCACCGAGGCGGCGCCTCGAGGAGAGGTTGGAGGAATCCGAGGCCGCACGTCTCCTCACGCTCAGGGGGACAGACAACGTTAGTGACGCGAGTTAACGCCTCAGGTCGGTCACCGCCTCAGGACGGAGATCGCCTCAGGACGGCGACCGCCTCAGGAACGCGAGCCCCTCCCCCCCCCAAAACGGGACGTTTCTGGAGCCTGTTCAAGTACAACATCAGCACCGCTGCCGGGGTTCACCAGCACGAACGACGCCTGCCCACGAAGAACACACGGTTCTTGGGAAAAAAGACGAGGGGCGTCGGCCTCGCGGGCGCCGCGGGGGCTCGGCCTCTGCTTCCCGCCGGCGCCTCGCGGGCCCCGCCCCCCGCTCCCCGCCCCCCCGCGCCGCTCACACTGCAGGATGATCTCTTCAAACGCCTGCCTCTGCAGCCGGTCCCGCCGCCTCAGCTCCTCCGCAATGTGGCGCTTCCAGCGGGGGAAGTCGGCGGCGCGGAGGCCCGACGACATCTCGCGCGCTGCCCGGCGCCTGAGCGCCGCTAATCCGAGCGGGGGCCGGCAGCCGCGGGCCGCAGCATGAGCGACCAGCGCACGCCGGAAGGGCCGGCGGCCCACAGCTCGCTTCCACACACCGCCCCGCCAAGAGCCGTCCGGGACCGTCTTCCGGCTCTTGCCGGAAAGGGCTGGGGTCAGGGCCGGAAAGCCCGCCTCCTCACCCGACGTCTGACGCCGCGCGCGCGCACGTGACCAGGGGCGACGCCGGGCGCTGGCTAATGACGCGCTCCCGAGGCCGGAAGCGCGGGGTGCGGAGAGGCGGCCGCTGGGAGGCGTGCGGGCTGCGCTGGAGCCTCCGCCGCCTTTCGGTTTACGCTTCGTTCCCTTCGCTGCCTTCCCCCGATTTATATTTTTCTTGGTCGGACTTCCTTTCCTTCATCGCTTCAGTTGACAAGCGGGGGGGGGGGGGAGCCGCTCCCCCCACCGGAGATGAGCAACCTCGCTGAGCCTCAGTTTCCCAGCCCGGGAAGTGGGGGCCCTGATGATACCGACCTCAGGGTTGGCGTCAGGATTAAAAGGAATAACCTGTGGAAGGCAGCGAGCGCGACGCCTGGGTCACCGCAAGCCTGGCTTCACGTGGGCCCCCCGGTATCTTCCTGCCCGCAAAAGTCGGGCTGCTTTAGACTTTTGCAAAGTGCCCCCATTGCCCTCGGGAACAGGTGTTTTGCAACGAAGAAGTGGAATGCAAAGAACCGTTAAAAGAAAAATACAAAAAAAAAAGAAAAGAAAAATACCATTAGATCGACTCTGTTACTGGTTAGAAGCCTGGGAATGATCCATAGGACCTAACGGTAAACGGGTTCTTCTTCGAAGGTGATCGAAGGGTGGGGACGGTTTGCCAAGGAAATCTTGCAGATGGCCCGTGGAAGACCGGCTCTTGAGAAGATAGCAGCTGTCAACTCAGTAGAACGGGAGTGGTGTGTGATCGAATCACCCCAACTCCGTTTACCTTTAACAAGTTGGTGAATCGGGATCCCTGGGTGGCGCAGTGGTTTGGCGCCGGTCTTTGGCCCAGGGCGCGATCCTGGAGACCCGGGATCGAATCCCACGTCGGGCTCCCGGTGCATGGAGCCTGCTTCTCCCTCTGCCTGTGTCTCTGCCTCTCTCTCTCTCTCTGTGTGTGACTATCATAAATAAATAAATAAATAAATAAATAAATAAATAAATAAATAAATAAATAAATAAATAAAACAAGTTGGTGAATCTACTGCGTGAAAATGGAACACCCCCGAAGTAGGAGGCCAGAGGATGATGAAAGGAGTATCAGAGCCTGGCTTCTCATCCACTGCGGCTCAAGGCCAGGGTCTCCTTTAGGGACAGATTTTTTTTAAAAAATTAAAAAAAAAAAGCCTTTCCTCTTCTGTGGAGCCTGAGACACTTCGTTGGCAGTCGGTACTGAGTGATCTGAATTTGTAGGGAGGACAAGGAAAAGTCAAATACAAGAGACTCGGAGCATCTGGGTGGCTCAGGGAACTGTCTGCCTGCAGCTCAAGTCATGATCTTGGGGTGGAGATGGAGCCCGGCGTCAGGCTCCCTGCTCAACAGGGAGTCTGCTTCTCCCTCTGCCCCTGCCTCTCCTTCTGTGCTCTCTCAAATAAAATCTAAAAAAAAAAAGAAAAGAAAAAATTCGAAGGAACTTACTCATATACTGAAGAAAATGAGAGAGCAATGTTCTGAAAGTCACCGAAAATGCCTCCAAATATAACAGTGGCATCAACCTCGAAAGACCATATGGCACCAGGTCTTGACGGTTGAATGTGCTGATTTTCCAGACAAGATGATGATTAAAACATGCTAACAGGTCTGCAGAACCAGTGATTCCACTTGGAGAAACTTGTGTTAAATATTTGGACTAATGTCCATATCCAGAAGCGTCTGTCATAGTATTGTTCGTAATAGAAAATTGGAAACAGCTTGTAATTTAAACAATAAGAGATAGGTTAAGTTATTGTGTATTTATTGCTCAAAAAATGTTTCTTTTTTAAAAAGATTTTATTTATTTATTCATGAAAGACACAGACAGAGGGAGAAGCAGGCTCCACGCAGGGAGCCCAACGTGGGACTCGATCCTGGGTCTCCAGGATCACACCCTGGGCTGAAGGTGGCGCTAAGCCACTGAGCCACCTGGGCTGTCCTCAAAAAATGTTTCTAATAAAAACAGGGTATGGTGTAAATCTAATTTATGTGAAATAAATGCATCCTTGGCTCCTTATGGGCAAAACTTGTCAAAGGAATAGAGAAGATAATCTCTAAACTAAGGATACTAAGCTCTGCTTGGGGTGGGGTGCCCTCTCCCTAACCCACCAGCTTTATCTAGTACACTGCAGCCACGGTGGGCCCTTTTACTCCTTTCCACACACCCTATTCTCTCCCACAGCAGGGCCTTTGGATTTATTGTGCTTCTGTTGTATGCACCTTATGACTTCAAGTTAATTCCTATGCATTAATTCTCAGCTCAGTGATCACTGCCTCACAGCCTTCCATAAAAGACCTTCACAACTAGGTCAGGTCTCTACATGTGTACCTCCTATGGAGCAACAATCACAGCTGCACCTTCATGTAGTTATATCATTACTTGATGACGGTGTGTCTCCCCCCAGCAGATGGTAAACTCTGCAAGAGTTACAAGGTGGTAAACCCAGCAGGAGCTGTGTATCTTTTTTGCTCAACATAGCCATAGCCAGCAAGAGCATGAAGCTTGTTGTATATTAGGCTCTCAGTAAATGCTATTTATTTTTTAAATATTTATTTATTTATTTATTTGTTTGTTTGTTTATGAGACAGAATGAGTGAAAGGGAGAGGAAGAGAGAATCTGAAGCAGGTGCACTGAGCACAGAGGCTGATGCAAGGCTTGATCCCATGACCCCGAGATCATGACCTGAACTGAAACTGAGCTGGACGCTCAGCCGACTGAGCCACCCAAGTGTCCCAGTAAATGCTGTTTAATCAGTGAATGGAATATATGAAAACATCAATAGTTTTAAACTCTTGGTGGTGGCATCGCTGGTGTGTTTTTGTCTTCGTTTTTGTGTGTAATTGACACTTTTATTTTACTGTGGTGTTTTCTATATCTTATGTTTTCTAATTATTACCCATTGCACCTGTTTTACATATGCAAGAAAAAGTCATAGAAATGAATGTGTATTTATAAAACCAGTTATTCATCAGGGTGCTGAGCTCTGTGGGAGATAACTAGTAAGCATGAACGCTTCTACAGTGTTAGAAGCCATAGAAGCCACGAACTCTTCTGACTACTTCACGCACTGTAATTCTTTTAATCCTCCTAACAACCCTACTTGGTAAGGTTATTGTGAGATACTGTTACCATCTTCATCCTTATTTCCAGATGAGGAATCTGAAGCACGGAAAGGCCAAATAACTTCACTGAGGACACCTGGGTAGTCTGTGGCAAGACCTGGGTTCAAACACAGGCTCCTGACTCGAGCATCTGTACCCCATTGTCAGGGGTCTTACAGCTGATATTGCAGTTTGACTTGACTAGAATATGTAAAAAAGAATAATTTAAAGTGATGTATAGTTAATCCCTAAATTAGAGAAAAAGGAAGGCAATCTGGTGAAGAGCAATGTTTGATGTGGAGGCCCCAGGTGTATTCCCAGGACTTGATGAGAATGCCTGGATGGGGATGAGGTTGTCTGAATATTCTGGAGACAGATAATGAGTCTGAAGAGAAAAGCTTTTGGTTTTGCTCCATTTCGTAAGGAGTGTTGAAAGGATTCAGCATGCTTTGCTGGAAAGCAACATCTATGAAATGGTTTCTGACTGCCTGTTATGGAAGTAAGATGAAGCAAAATATCCCAAGATTCTTGTAGAAGTGTGTTAAGCAGCACAAGTTTGCTCACGGAGGAGAGGAAGAAGCATCACTCACCAAAGAACCTTCTTTGTGCGTAGTATCACTGAAGCTAAATATAATGAGATTTAACGTAACAGCATCCCCACTGTCAAAAACTTCCCAGAGACTTTCACCCTAACCATCGATGCCTACACACCTCATCCGCGAGATCCTCTAGTGTGGCTCCAATTCAATGGATTGCAAGTCCAACTTTCAGTCAACTGTCCTGTTTACTTTGGTCCTTCCCCTTCAGGTCTTTCTGATTTCCGTTATCTTTCAATCAGCAAGTGCAAACAGTTGGGTCCTAGTGTGGGCGTGGTACAGGGGTGGACGACAGAGGGCCCAGGCTTGGATCCTGATCACAGAGCTCACTTTTCAGGAAGGGAGATCTGAATGTGCATTATTTAAGGTTGTAAGGGATATAAAGTAACAATGAGGGCTGCCTGGGTGACTCAGTTGATTAAGCGCCCACCTTTGGCTCAGGTCATGATCTCGGGGTCCTGGGATCCAGCTCCACATCAGCAGGGAGCCTGCTTCTCCCTCTCCCTCTGCCCCCTCCCCCACCCCCACTTGTGCTCTGTCTCAAATAAATAAAATATTTTTTAAAAAAAAGTAAAAATGGGCTGGCCAAGAGGCAGTGCCAGGGTTTGACTCTTCCCTGTTCTTTTTTTCTCTTGCTTTTATTCTTTTTTCAAAGATAATTTCTTGTTTGTTTTAAACTGCTGGTGATCTTTAATTCTTTATTTTCACTCCTTTTCAACTCTTTCCAAAATTAGATCACTAGAAGTGAAAGTAAGCTGAGTTAACCATGTTACTGTGTTAACTGTCTACTGTATAAACATAAAGCTGCTAGAGTAAACCAAAGGATGGTCAAGAAGCCAGCCAACATAGGTTTTCAGAGATCCTAATGATCCCTCCAAATATTGCTTTTTTTATGGCAGTAACCATGGCCCCTTATAGGCATGTGGGGGTGTTGCTTAACACTTATCCCTTGGCTTTTCTTCATTCTCTTTAGTGTCATCGTGTTTGTATATATATATAGATTCTACAGGAAAATTTCATTATAAAGAATCCCTAGACTCTGCACCCAGATTAAACCACACACAGTTCCCATCATCTCCTCTCTTTATATGTTGACACTTAGATTTCATATCTTAACAGTGGCAGTGTCTGAGCTGGGTATTATCCTTACGTCCCAACACAAGCTTTATAGCAAAGCTGGATTTTCTTAGAGGAAGTCCGTGTTATCCCTCCTCTATATTGGCAGCCAAGTCCTGGAACGGTGGCTGGAGGGTTCAACATGGCACATATCACAAGTTGGGAATGTGGCCCCTGCCTAGAGAGGGCGTTTCTGGGAAGTCAGCTCCCTTGGTTTACCTCTTTGATCTTTAAGGAGATGATTAAATTTCTCCCAGACACTCCCGCCGTCTCCTACTGTGATTAACAGCCATATTTCATTGGGTGATTTTTACATGCCAGGCACTATGCTCTATGTGATTGAACTTCTTTCTTTCTCACCCTACATATTGCAGGTGCTGTTAATATTTCCTTTTACAAGTGCAAAACTGACACACAGAGTCAGTCAAGTCAAGTCACTTGTGCCATGTCATCAAGTTAGTAAGAGGCAGAGCTCGGATTCATTCGAGGCAAACGGACACCCTGATGCCAGGAGGAACAAACACCTCCCCCAGGTAACCATGCTGCTGGGCTATGTGTCAGCACATTAGGGTTGTGGCTGTTTTGTTTTGTTTTTGTTTTTGTTTTTGTTTTTCTAGCATGAGATAGAGTATCAGAATGCTTTTTTTTTAAAATTAAGATTTATGTATGTATTTTTGCGGGGAGGAGGAGCAGAGGAAGAGGGAAAATCTCAAGCGAACTCTCCACTGAGCGTGGAGTTCAACGTGGGGCTTGATCCCAAGACTCTGAGCTCAGGACCTGAGCTGAAACCAAGAGTCGGTCACTCCACCCACTGAGCCACCCAGGCGCCCTCAGAATGCTTTTGATTACAAGCTAAGAAGTGCCACTTGAGTTTCCTTGAGGGAGAGGGAAGGGAGCTGTGGATCCAGGGCGTTGCAGGGACCTGGTAGTGGGGAGGCGGCTGGACACCAGGAATCAGTGGACCCAGGATGCAGATCCCATCAGAATGCTCAGCCCTTGGCACCTGCTTCCCTCTGTAAGTTGCCACTTGCTTTTCCTCTTGTCTGGCAGGTGGGCCCCGGGTGGTGAAGACGTGGCACCTCCAACGGCCTG